AGGTAGTGAAAACGTGACAGAGAGATCCTGATAGATGGAGAGAGGGAAAAGAAAGCTAGCTGGATCAAGTAGCCTGTGGTATTAGCTGGCTGACCTGTGAGGTCAGGCTATAGTTTGGACCTGAGGCTTTTTGACCTGCTGTCTTTTAAAAGGCTGGAGGCAGGAGGACAACAACTCTGAGGAACAATGATTTCATAACGCGTTGAGGAACATTGCTTTACAGACAGACATGCACAAAACCCATTTTCCTGTAGTTTAGCAAGAGGTGTGTGCAACTCCTATCAAGTATCCAACCACTGATTTGAAAAACCACACTAAAATTGCTCTAGTGAAAGGCTGTAGTTGGCGTTACAAACACACTTCTCCCGATTGAAAGACCACAGGTTCTATGCCTGCCAACAGCTGAAATGTCTTGAGTGAATGAGGCATTTGTGCGATTAATTGGGTGAATTTTGACTGAATGCTTTTATGCCCAGCTAGACTCTGCAACATCATAATGCAGTAACCAGACATGTCAATGCATCACTAATTAAATCAACAAGAATTTTAAAGGAAATCTAAAGAACTCCACAAGTTTTTACACAGAAAACTTTATGATAAAGTTTGTTTCTTCAAAAACTTTTGCCCCAAGGATGCTTGCACACTTTGTGTTTTGAGGTGTGTCAGCCCATCAGCCATGCAGTTCAGTCTAGACTGATGGACCCATATACCCACGGCCACACACATGGGTCTAGGCTGCATTATACAGAAAGCCCTGTGCAAAATGTCAGACAGCTAATGACCCAGATCCTCCACTCACCCACTAACTCAACCTGACAGACTGACAAAGCTGAAACTCTGGAACACACTTTCTTGGTAGGTGGAAAAGAAAAACCCGAACTCAACATAAAATTAGGACTAAGTGATATAGGCATGCTGAGAAGTATAGTATTTACAGAATACTTCAATAAAGTTCTATGAGCTAGAACAAAATGAGTGGTGTTAGATGTTTTTTAGCATTTTTTCCAGGCATTTTATGCATTTGTTGGAGAGGAGATTATGGAGACAGACAGGAAATGAGGAAAGCGAGACGAGGGGAATAACATGAAATAGAAGTCCCTTGCCAGACACAAACCGGTAATGTTGTGGTTCATGGTCAGCACCTTAAACCCCTAGACGACCAGGGTGCCTAAACTAGGGCTAGGTTTAGTATTTCTAGATTTATCTACAGTTTTCCCTCATGTTTAATTTCCTAGCAGAACAGAAATATTTTTGATAGAAATCTGAGTGCTGTGGGTCTAATCCTTGTACCCCTCTTACTACTGGCAGCTTGTAATGATGCAGATGCAGAATGTGAGGGTGTCTCTGTCACACAAATAATGGAGGTGTTCAAACACAGGACAGATAATATGTGCTCTGGCAGAAAATTAAACACACCATTCTACAAGTCACTTTAGGTTGCTGTTTACTATTCTGTGTTAAGATAGTAAAAAAGACTGAAAACATGAGATTTAATAGCCAGTGAAGTTACAAGGTTCCCATGCTGGACCCCAGGAGCCTGTCAGAGTGAATGTGTGTGTGAATGTGTGTGTGTGTGTGTGTGTGTGTGTGTGTGTGTGTGTGTGTGTGTGCGTGTGCGTGTGTATGAACAGGTGTGTTTCTACCCTATAGGATCCCGTGACAGATTCCAACCACATTCCCACATCTACCGCTGAGGGGAGTCTTTGGTGGTGGGAAGTGGGAACGTCATGCCTGTTTGGGAAAGTTTGGGATTGAATTGCCTTATAGGATTTGCAAGGCCAGGCAGGTCTGGGCATTCCTGACAGTGTGTGGAACGGAGAGAGGAGTGTGTGTGTGTGTGTGTGTGTGTGTACATGCACTCTTCTTTCCCCTAGGCTGGTGTCATGACTCCACAGCGGAGGGGGTAAAAACAGCCCCTTGTTTAACTCTACCTGGCCAAAAGGTTGTTGATTTTGTGTCTCTTTTCTCTATGTCTCTCCATGTAATTTGACTGTGCCTGTATGAATTAGTAGGCTTGTATAAAATCTTTGTGTGTACATGTGTGACGTTACTCTAAATGTTTGTCTTCTTAAATGCACAATAGATTGTGTATTCTGTTCTTATGTGATATGAGAACATGTGTGCACATTTGTGTTTACACTGGTAGTAACTGGTAAAAAAATGTCAATGGAGGGGTGTTTCAGAGTTTTCTTAGGGCAATAACTGACTTAACCAAACCAACACAAACACCCACACATTACACACACAGATAGACCAACCACTCAAACCCTGCCTCATTCACCTGTAGGCTTTTACAACATGAGTCCCCTATCAGTAGACAGGAAGCCCACATGAAGGAGGAAACAATGGGAATTGTGTGCATGCGTAAGAGTCTAAACAAATAACTCTTACAGGGTTAATGTTTGAGTGTGTGAAGCCCAAGGAACACCCATCAATTAGATTCTGTATATAAAAGCCAAAAATATCTGGCAGAAGGAAGTAGATGAGGATGAGATTTCTCAGGGCCAGAGGGCAAGGCACTGCCAGTTGAATCGTGTCACCACATAGCCGGAGAATATGGCTAATGCATGGGTCATATGGTCAGGATGTCTGCAAGTTGCAAAAACCTTTTAATAGCTTTTTAAGCTCTTTAAATTTCATATGGAATCTGATTTGAGATCAAGTAAAAATTGAGAAAAAAAAAGTGATTATTACTGACTCAGAATAGACAATGAAAAACCCTGATAATAAAACCCTTTTAGTTAAAGGAAATATTGCCAGAAAAAATGTCATGATGGAAATCATTCAGCCTAGTATAACTATAAAAATCTGCCAATGAAATAAGATTAGTGTGGGTTTGAGTTTTCTAGAATCGAGGGTCATGCTTTTGAGATGAAAGCACAGATCTGTATTATTCTGTCTTGTTTAAAAACCTTCACACTCATTAATGTGAAGTTCTTCATAATCAAAAAAACTGCTTTAATCAAACTTCACTGGCAAAAATCATCACAAAACTATTGAAATGGATGAATGAGAGAATAGTTGTGTGAGTGTGTGTTTACGTTATACTTTGAGGTAGATGTGTGTAAATTATACTTCCCAGTGTGTGTGTGTTTGTGTTGATAGGAATTATCATTATGAGTGCGTGTGAATGTGTCATACAGAGCTCCAAAATGGCAGCATGCCTCACGTACTTTGTGAATACAGACTTTGTTTAGCCAGCAGAGTTTTGTTGAATGAGACCAAAGCTGGAGACCACTCAACCCCAACTGAAGTAGCTGTTAATGTGAGGCTTCAGCAAGGAGACAGGTAAAAAATTAGCCCATCCCCAAGAAAGGTCCTTCAAAATTTACTAACAGTGCATATATACTGCATGTTCATGGTACTAATGCTACATACAGTACATGCCTCAATGACTTTTTAACCAAGGTAAATGAGTCCAATTCCTTCACATTTAGTGATTCCTAATCTATTTTGCAAATGCACATTTACACATAGACAAGATTACCAGTGCATGCAAAAGTTTCCAACAGATCATTGAGTGTGATTTGTTGGAACAAATAAATCTAATGCATTACAGTGCTGACCAGTGTGACCAGTGATCTGCCTGTGTGCCTTAATCCACTCTCTGTAGACAAATCAAGACTGAAAAAGTATCCATGGAATCAAACAACATACACAGGTCTGGTCATGTCAGTGGTGGCACAGTCCAAGACATGACTAATACTCAACAACTAGAGGGGTTGTTAGTGGTGTGCTTGTGCTTGCACCAGTTCCAAAAACACAGAAATCCTCTCTATCCATCTCTGGTTACCATTAACGCCAGACTAGAAATGAGACCAGAGCCATACTGGTAGTCTGACTCATACAAGCCACATCCCACTCATTTCCAACATGACAAATAAAAAACACACAAAGCACAGCGGTCATTTGCAGTATCGTCTGGTTCATGACCTTTACTTTAACAATGATTTTTCAAATTATGATTCATTTTGTTTGAACAGAAAAAGAAAAAAAGAAAAATGATTCCTCATACTTAGTGCCTAACACTGACATAACTTATACATAAATTATGCAGTCAACAGTAAAGTTGGCCAGGAGTCGAAATTCTGAAAGTGGGTGTCAGTCATCTTAAGTGTTTATTATTATTGACCATATGCTATTATTGACAAGTATGCAGGAACATGATAAACTCCTGAACAAGTTTAGAAAGCATTTTCCTATTTCAAGCGACTAAAGATATTTTACCAATTTCAGATAGATGCCATTCGGTAAAAGTAAAGAGGGTGTTATTATAATGCATGCATTATAATGCATGAGAGAAAGCAAGTCTGGACATGCCTTGTGGGCACTCTGCAAATTGTGCTGCTTTTAATCAGTAAAGTTGTGTAAAAAGAGACCAAGGCTGGTGGTTAGGCATGATAGGGAATCAGACGACTCTCCCTCCTATCCTTACTTTCCCATGTGCCAATTCAAGTCTCCAAATATATTGTAAAAATATGTCATCAGCACCACCATGTATGTCGTATAAGATTATGTCCAGGCTCATCAGGCCAGCCATACACATATGTATTTATATACAAGAGAAGACAGTAGGAAAACTAAGCTTAAAAAGCAGCCGGCCACTTGACATCCAAGTTATTTTAACTTGAAGTTACTGTATCTGATTGAAGAATTAACCAACTAAATCCTGCTTTATCTGGCTAGTCAATGGAGATACCTTAAGCACTACTGCCACCTACTGACAACTTTAAGATTTCCTCTAATGGAATTATTTACATATTACAATATACCTAGCTATCATAAGTTGATTCAAGTAAGCATATTTGAATGCATGGAAGCCCATGTATGATTTTAATACTACAGTCTAGATTTGGTTGACTGACTGTAGTTAAAATCACATTTATGATCTCTACAACATCCAATTTGACAAACTGAACCAGTGACAATCTGCCTTTTTACTCATTTCAATTTCAGCTTTCAGTGTAAGCTTCTGTTTCGCAAGTGTTTGTGTGTCTTACTGAGATCCTCCGCCAGCTGGACACGGCGACCAGTGATGAGGTGGGTCTTCTTCTCCATGTCTTCCCCAAAGTCATCCAGCACCTCCTTCACATTTTTCTCCAACCGGCGCACTGAGAAGACAAATGGAGGAACAAAGACACATACAAAGCATAACAATCAATATCCAATCCAAAAACAATGCATGGGATTTTTCTTTCCGTTTGCAGATTGAATTATTTGATCAACACATTTTAGCATCATTAAAATGGTTGAGGGAGAAATTGTCTATTCTCACAATGGGTGTTTTTGAGCATACTGGTTGTAGGATCAATTTTATTATTGAATTATTATCAATGACCTGGAAAACTGGTTATAAATCTTGGGTAAATTATATGACAAAGTAAAGGTTGTCCAGCTGCCCCAGTAATCCATATCTGGACCACTCTGAACTAAGCTTTGTCCGTTGAGCTCAGTAGTGACTCTCCCGCCTAAATAACTGAAGGTTCCACTGACACAATTTACTCCATCAGAAAAATATACATCTGAAAGTATGGAGTAAAATTTTCATCAATAACCTGTTAGCATTATGGAATAACTCAAAAGATAAGTATTGGTAAGAAACCAAACTGAATGATGATAAACAATTTGTAAAAATTTGAGAGGCAAGGATGACTAACAGGGGAAGGCAGAGAGTTAGATATTGAACCATATTGTAAATTGTAAAGTATCCATTGCTGCTCCTTTTATATGCAAATGGTGGAAGCCTCCTTTTAGAACAATCTTCCATTATAAATAAATCCCTAATCCTTACCCTCAGTGTTGGTGAGCTGTTGTCGGAGAGTGTTGGCTGTGATGACCAGCATTCTCTGGATCCTCCAGAACAGTACCACATCATTGCACTCCAACTGTGAACAATATGAAGACACAGTTCAACTTTTCACACAATGACAATTAACACAGGAAAGAAGAAGGTAGAAAAGAAAGACACTTCAGGGTAGTTCTTCACCTCTCCTTACCTCAGAGTCAACAAAGTGTCTCTGGTAGTAGTAAAAACCTCTCTTGCAGAGGTTACAGTGAGCCAGTGCCTTCTGCAAGAAGTGTCGGCGATACAGCTGATGCCACGTGTCCTTGATCTGTACAGGAAAAGAAGTCAGCACTCTGGGAGTTAATGGGTGGTAGTTATAATAAAAGCTCAAACTCTGTACATGCAGCAACTATGAAATAACAAACACTGGATTTAACATATTTTTCCCATCATCTAACTTTTGTTTAGAAGCTCACCAGCACAGGGTCAACTTCGACCCCTCGTCCCTCGAGGTTCTTCCTCACTGTGGTGACCTCGTCATTGGCCAGGTAGGCTGTGTGGTCATCATGCAGCTTCAGCAAACGCTCCAGCTCATTTTTTGTTTCATTACGGATGTGCTAAAAGGTCAAAGATAAGGAAGTGAGCATTTAGATGTAGATGATTATTCAATGCACTGTGTGCTTCTATCAAGCTCTAGTACCTAAGGTACTGTAAAAGGGGGATCTGTACTAATGTGTAATGTAACTGGTATTATACCCCGTCTTACAATCCTTCCACTTTAAAATCAATGGGGTGCCTCTAAAACAACAGCACAATCATGCCCAGGAATTTGGGAAGACTCCTCAAACTCTAACCTGATCTGGTGTGCGATTCTTCCAGTTCAGCCACCTCTGCTTCCAGTCTGGACCCACCATGTCTCTAATTACTGAGTCAGCTACAAGAAGAGAGAAGACAGACGTTCAAAGAGAATGAAAAGCATACAGTTTGCCATACATTACAGAATCCACTTCCATTGAAAGTATTTAACACAAACTCTTTCATCTAGAATTTCTATGGTGCAGAGCAGCAGGGGCAGTGAAGCAGAGTAACACACTACACAAAATAATACAAAGGAATGACCATTTCTGACCAGCTGTCCTCTCCTTTATGTGTGTGTCTGTGACATGTTTAACTGTGCCAGCCATATTATATTGAACCATGCTGAACATTAGAACAGTGTTTGACTGCGATTCCCGAGTTTGTTCTGTAATTTAATGGCTCTGACCCAACTATGTTTGGATGTCGACCATGAACCCAGAAGTAGAGGAAATGTGAAAAATGCTAAATGAATGGAAGTATTGATCTGGGAGAACTGATGGCACGCACACTGGGGACAGCCACAACACCATGCATACATCTCATTTAGCAAGGTTTTCCTCATTGGAGGTGAGGCATAGCTAGACATTCACATGTAGGTAAATGCTTTCAGAGAAACACCAGCAGATTGCCCTAAAAATAGCTTTCTACTCATGTCTGTAGTGCTGTAGCAATTCCAAACATATGATCTAATTCAGGTAGACAATTTTACAAAGTTCAGTCATCTCAAGGGGATTTCCTAGTAAGACCAATATACTAAATAGGGTGAATAAACAAATAATACTCACAAATGGTAAATGGATGAGCTGCTCATATATACCACTGTATATATGACCATTCATTATCTTGAACCATGTTCATGTTATGACTTTCCAACTTAACTACACAGGGCTATGAGACATTTTGACAGCTAAGTTATCACACAGTTTAAGAGAGAAAGGGAAGTCTAGCACTTGGTGTGAAGTTGCATAAAACCATCATGGCTAACGTACTGTCTTTGAGACGTGACTGCAGGGTTTCTTCCATGAACTGGATTGCTGCATTGTGACAACTGACTTCTGACTCAAGAACAGGAGGAAGCACTGTGTATTTGGAAAGTGGGGGCTACTGAATCCATAATTAGCTAAAACAAAGTTGAACCATAGTATAAAATCTTGCAAGGTTAATGCTATTTTGACAGATATAACTCATCATGAACTTACCAATGTTGTGGGGTCACTTGACTCAAACTAATGACTTCATCCAAGATTTCATTTTTGGCCTTTTCATAAAGTTCATTCTGCAAGGATTCAAAATAAGGCACAATTAGATTGGTATGATATGCCTTTGGAGAACTTCTGTGTAGGAGGACTTTCTGTTTCTCACCCTGTCCAGCTCTCTCAGACGAGGGTAGTTGTTCTTCCATTCTGTCTCCAGGTTGAAACGGGATGCTGTGGTGAGAAGGGACATTGATTATATCATCATTTATCATTTAGAATAAGAACACCAGCAGGTATAACCTTAAACTTCACATTTAAAAATCAGTGACATTGTAATTGGATACAAGTGATTCCATCATAAAGCCTATTTAGAAACTTAATCTACCTCTTGAAATTTCTAAATTAATCTACCTTCTCTCATGTGTCATTTCCCAGGTGTTTGTCGTCACGCCTGGATGACAGCAAACAGTAATACTCTATAATCAACAGGCAATGATCATACAGGTACAGGGCCTGCTTTGTTTTAACTTGGGTATGATATAAAGGCAGCTTTCAGACTGATAATGGTGCTATCCTTTAATAAAAGTGGGTAAGGACTTTGCACACTCACTCTTTTAACTAGTCCCTTAGGAGAAGAGGGGATGGGGCCAATCACACGCACTTTATCAAAAGTCAGAGTTTTAGTACTCACATATGCACACAGGGGAAGACCAGAGACAGTATCACAGACACGGACACACACGCACACCAAGCCTGCTGTCCCTTTCCACAGCTCCCTATCCACAGTGGAGATTAGGCTAATTGCTGGTTTGTGGGGCCACGGTGGCGCCAAGCAAGGACGATTGAGGCCGGCTGCGTGTGATTTGATGGGCTATGGATCGATACACCACACAATGGGCCTATGGGAACTGCAGTCTCACGGCCATAAATCTCCTGTGCAGTTAGCAATGGGCTTGTAATTGTCTAGACTAATTGCAGTTGGAAGGCAAGACTGGAGGAGTAGAGAAGTGTGGAAGGGTGGGCTGAGTAAGGCCAACAAAAGCAGGTGGAGGAGTCAGGAATAGTAGCACCTGTTTCCTGTGCAGCGTAATGAATAGAGGCAGGTGCCAATATCACAGTTAATGAAGAAAACTTTATAATGTCCACTCCCACTTTCAAAACATGCCTGGCACCATAAAGGGGCTTTGGACACAAACATCCACTAAATGGTGCACATAACAAGGTTTAAGAATCATTCTTCTCTGGGATAAAAGTTAAAATTATAAACCTATTCTGTTTTCTGTGCAGTCTTACCTTTAAAGACATCAGCCTGCTGCTCAACAGACTCCCTAACCATCTTCCAGAAGCAGTCGGAGACGGCCAGACTCAGGTTCTTTGTGGTCACCTGGTGGGCCTTCAACATGCCATCCCTAATTGAATCAATGCATTACTTGTCAGCTTTAACTTAAATCATGCAATGTAACGTTAACGTTTGGTGAATCAGGTGTAACTTGCCTAAGTAATCTGGAGTTCTGGAAGAAGTCCTCCTCGTAGTCTTTAATGGAGTCTATGCTTTCACCAGTGCTCCCTGCGCACAAGTAAATAGCAGAACAAGGAGTGAGTAATTGACAATTCAGGTAATGTTGGATTTCATACAGCACAATAACAAAAATATTATAAGTGCTACACAATATAATAAGTCAGAGCAAAAACTTCCCCATGCAAACAACAATATGATGAAGAAACCACAAATAACCTCCATCTAGTTCGCTGGTTACCACAAGTAGTGTCGTGAAACAAAATCAAAGAATTGGGACATGATCATGATCTGAAAGTCCTCAATAAATAATGTGAAATTAAATGCTCCACGTTGGATGACTCAGTAGTAGAGGTTACCTTTGCCTGTCACCACAGCAAAGTAGCCCAGGGCCTTCATGGGAAACAGCTTTCCTTCCACTATTTGCTGGATCTGAAAAAAAAAGATTTAACAGAAAGGATTTAAGTTTTTTGGCTCCTCCTGTCTGCACTATAAGGTTCCTAAACATTGGGTTGTTGAGAGACAAGTTGGTTAAAATCAAAGTGCTGAGCGCCCTCTGGTGGAGCAGCTTCATATAGTCGCCTCTCATAGTTGTGGGTACGTCATATACTGGTTTAAAAAAAATCTTCAAATGCAACTGTTTTGTTATTAGTCACACTGGTTTTGCTCCCTATTTCTGTATTCTTAACACAATTCACATGGGATGTCAACGATTATCATTGATTTCACCACTGTAAGAAGTGATACAAAATATATCCACCAATAATATGAAATTCAACTGTGGCACTGTTTTCCTTTTTGGACACCAATAATAAAAAGCATGTAGACAGATCCATGCTTTCATCACAGGAACAAAAAGTGCCAAGTAACTCATAGTCAATATAATATACAATTTTTGTAGAGTAGGCACTAAAAGCCCAATGGTGGGGTAAGTGACCAGTTAAACCGCCTCACTCTGCTCGGGCTGGCCAGGTTCTTCTCAGCCAAGTCCACCTTGGTCAGGACAAAGATAGTTCTCTTCCCTTGGGGGTCCATCTGGCTAACCAAGTCAGTTACAATGCTCCGCTCTGCATCGACACTGCCATCTGGACAGAGAGAAGGAAGATCACAAGACATGAAGTAATGCTGTATAGCTAATAAAAAATGAAGACAATAGGACATAAGTGCATGGTGGGAATGGTATGTTCATGGCTCACCCTGAATACAGAGGATGATAGCGTTGGGGTTCTGCATGTAGGCTTTGCTGATGCTGAAGATGGTTTCCTTAGTGTCTGATGCCATGCCAGTAGTCACCGTCTGAGAAAGACACACATTAGGAAGGCTTTTTAAAGACTGCATGCGTATCACTGTATTTGTGAAAACAAGTTTGGTTGTGGTGTTAACATTCCCACACTTATCAGATCGTATACTCACACTAATGACACCTGGTAAGTCAACAAGCACCATCCTCTGGATGCCAGGGCCTTTGACACTCAAGGATATTGTCTAACATGCAAAAAAAACAAGATTATTCCATGAAACATAACACAAAGTAAATAATTATGTTGCAGCTTCTTTGAATGGAAATACAATGTCGAACCTCAGAGCTGACTGTCTGTCCCTCCTTCACGCTCTTCCTCATCCTCAGCTCAATCTCATGCCTCAAAGCAGAGAGCTGCAAGACATAGGAAGAAAGACGAGATAAAATTGTGTGAACAGAGAACTAAGTTAAAGCTGTAATTCATATTAGGTGGATGGAGTGAATGACTGTGTGACTTACATCCTCCTCCTTGGTAAGGTCAAACTCTCTGCCACTATCCTTGAACATGGCCACATGGTGGGGGCCTTCACTTAGTGTTACCTACAGAAAGAAAATTAGCATTGTCTAATCTCTAAAAACAGGGTTTCTTTACATTTTCACCTTCAAAAATACCTTCATTTCTTGGTTGACAGTAGCCAATAAAATAATTTTACATTCTGGATAAGCAATTACTTACTAACTGATGTTACTAAGTAAATCTTATTTCATGGCATTTCAATTACAAAGTGTAGTAACAGTAGGGCTTCAAATTAACCAGCTGTTGGTAAATGTGTAAATCTTTTTTGTGTTGTTTTACATTCTAAAGAAGAGGATTACACATCAGCCAGTCTGATTCCACTTACCTTGACAGGAGAGCGTGTCATCATCTCTCCTGAGCCCCGAGGAAAGATCCTGGCCTGAGCTATCATCTCCAGCACACTAGTCTTCCCAGCACTCTGATCCCCGACCACAACCACCTGAAAGAGGAGAGGAGAAACTGAGAGACTGTGGCAGAGTACACAGATGGATGGAGGAGAACGAGGAAACCAAAAAAGCTAAGGAAAAAGAAGTGGAAAGGACCAACTAATACAAATTTGAAATGTAGGAATCTGGTGTGAGGATTCATCAAGAGATAGATAGCAATTCTATTTGAAAAATTAGAAGAAATATATATTTTGGATAACAACATCTTTCCTTTTTTTGCAAATATCAGAAACAAAACAAATCAAATAAATCCTTCAAACACACTAAGTAACTCAGTGAGGCAGTCTTGTTAGAGCATTTGTAACAACTGAAGAATCAATTAAGCCCATATTTGAAAGCAAACCATTTCTAGTGAATGAGGAGCTGACTGACTGCTCCTTACCCTGGGTAGGTGGTCCTGCGTGTTGTAGTTGGCATCGTAGTCAGACAAAATGTCCAGAACCTCAGAATACAAGTCAATAAGGGATTTCTACATGGGGAGAAACAAAAATGAACATTGATGATAAAATATGTATCAATATTTTAACCTTCAAACATGTATTTGACACTTGTATCCAGACAGTCTAGCAGTGATTGTAAGGAATAACTAAAGTAAAAGTGAAATAATTAAACTGATATTATTGCTCAGAGCAGCATTAAAGGGACAGTACCCAAAGATGGGAGTAGAAGAGAGACTATTCCTGTGTCCACCGAATGATCATTGCAAACCCAAATCCAAGCCTCAGAAGTTAAAATGAATGTGTTTATTGCGCGCGTGTGTGTGTGTGTGTGTGTGTGTGTGTGTGTGTGTATGTGTGTATGTGTGTGTGTATGTGTGTGTGTGTGTGTGTGTGTGTGTGTGTGTGTGTGTGTGTTTAGAAACCTACCTTCACTTTCCTTTGGTGAATCCCCTTATCATCTTTTTGCAGCACCACTTTCCTTAACTCTTTATTCTCCTTCTCCAGTCTCTCCAGCATGCGCTGATATTTTAGCTATGGGATAGACAGTAGCATCCCATCAACAATGAGCATCAGTAACACATAACATGTATAATGAGATGTTTTTACCAAAAAATCTGGTGGCAGTATTTGATCTAGTGGTGCAACTGTGAGATTTACCTAATTTTTCAGCTGTATGAACAGTATGCAGTATTGTATGAGCAGTAGTTAATAACCTATTCTCCAAGCAGGTAAGTTTTAACCTATTTGATGGTTTGGCCAATTCTCAGCAATTCCATTTCACTGGGAAATAAGACCAGTATTTAAAAATATTAGAAAATAAAAGCTCTTGCATGATTATAAGAGTCCTGTGTTCCACCAAGAGACAGAATTTTGGCAAAAGTATCACAAAATCTACTGTACCTGTGTACGGAGCAGTTCTTCTTGAAGCTGGTCTATCTTTTCTTTGTCTGATGACTAAAGGTTGAAGCATAAAAACAGAAAAAGAACAGCAACAAACTGAGTTAATGCTTCGTTTCCGTTTTGAAAATAAGGGCTACCCGTCACTCTCACTGTGCAACTTCATAAGCATGAAATCCCACCAGCATCAGGAAGGTTCATTACGTGCACACTGTATTACAGAGAGAACCAGAGTTGAGAGTCAAGTTAATGCATTAAGAGAAGAACAAATCAGATTTCAGACAGACACTACTCATTCTGGGATTACTCAGCTTTGATCAACAAGCTCCAATTCACAAAACAGGCACAAATCACTGGGTGAGCCCTGAAAAATATGAATTTCATCCCAAAATTATTTAGTCATTAGAGTTTGATTTTTTACAACTGGGCAAACATCATTTTATTTTGCATTTTGTATACTTGCAATAGGTTTGACAGGATGAGAAACAGGACAGAAAGCAGGAGACACAGCATAAATGGACAGATGGGACTGGCAGCAGAAGAAAGGGAATTTAAGAAACAAACAGAAACGCAAAACTACTGTAACAAATACAATTTCTACACTACACAACAAGGACAAGAAGTGCGCTGTAAATTACCTTTTAGCAATATGAACAAACAGTGTATTAAAATGCTTTGAATTTCCTCAATTAGGAAAGTTATTTGGGCTTTACATAACTTCTTGTAAGCTTAAGACTTCTCCCGTGCTGATGATAAAATGATCAGCTTCCTTTATAAAAGTTGTCCATTCATGGTAGTTTGTGCAGCTCATACCATGCAGCAGGTTGCCACTCCACTCCATGCAGTGTTCCCGTACATTAATGTGCTCCTGATGATAATCCATCCATTTGCATGAGAGTGAGGCTGAGCTACTACGTCACTTCTGGAGCCAGGCTATGAAGGTCCATGCATGCCTTTTCCACAGCCCACTGACAAAATAAATTTTAGCACAGCCTGACAGACTATGGGGTGATACATGGAGGCTACTGTTGGGTATTACAGGGGTCAGACTAACGGACTGCACTAGAAATAATATAAAATTTAAAAAGGTTAAAAAGGTTATAAAATATTTAAAAACACTGGCATCATGGCTTAAACTGGAGGGCTTGACACAAACACCAGTAAAATATAATATAATCCAATGCAGTAGCAATACAATAAATAATTTTAAGTGGAGGGGGTTGGTTTAATTTATGGTGGTGTTGTACTGTGTTTGCATTCTGTTTTAAGATGCTACTGTTGTCTATGTGGTGGACAAAATAAACACATTGTGGGCTAGCAAACACTGTATTTATTGCATGGCCACAGCACTGGAATGTATTATTGAATTAATTAATTATTCTGCAGCTGTTGATGTTGTTGTGTCCTCCATCCTGTGCATATTAGGGACTAACAGAAAGCAATGCTACCAAAAATTGAATCTTCTATAATAGAAAGACTTTTATTTAATTATTAAAATTGCCAGCTCTACTCTTCACCAATTAAGTCAGTTAAAGAGCGACTTAACAACAACTGAAAATGTTTTCACTCTGCACCCTGCTGCAGTGATGCCTCAGTGTACTCCAAAGTATGTCAGTACACTGTGACATCACTGTTAGGTGTGATTACAGGTGCAATGGAGCACACTTCCAAGCACATCCAACCTGACCAATTAGTGATGCTGGATATGTTGAGAGGTACAACAGACTTGAAACTTTCATCCAGAGAGACCAGTGAAACCTGCTTTTCAGCCTGGTGTTAAGTTACTGTAACGTTTTGTCAAGGCAGCTGGTTTAAATAAAATTTTTCTAGAATATATATTCTGCTCCTACTCTGTAGCTGTGATCTTTAAGAGCCATTTGTGGGATAGGACGAATCTAAGTGGGGTGGGACCTTCACCTTTCGTTTCTGTTGAAGGGGGCTGGGGTTCGGAGGCGGACTGGGAGCAGGCTCTGGCGGTGGGGGACGCGCACTATTGGCTGCAGCGGCCCGCCGGACCTCCTCCTCGTGCCGCTGGATCTGCTGCTGAATAAGAATGAGCTCGCCAAGCAGACCCTGCTGGGGTACGTCATAGTGAGAAAGAGGTAGGAGCAGCAAAAAACATAACAACCAGCTACTAGTCTGGTCAGCCATACAGGCCAATGCTGCATCCAAAAAACACAGGGCTACAACAGAAGAAATCTGGCCTGTGTCTCTGCCGCTGGCATTGGTGCTGTTTGTTGGAGAATCACGATTCAGTTAAGGCTCAAGTTTAAGAGAATCAAGATCTTTGGCTTTGGTAATCTTGCCACAATCATCAGTGTGACCGAGCAAAGTTAAGTCTCCCTCAAACACAAAAGGGAGACGCCAAACTTTGCCAGACTGAAGGCAGAAGAGGCAACCAATACCACAACCAGCGCCTCTCAACAAGTGGCAACAACAGTGACTTGTCATGTGCCACTGTGGATTCATGACTGTATGCTCACCATGATTCAGACAACACAATAACTGATTTTTATACTTATACTTAGCAGTATATAATACATGAAGAGAGTTGAAATTCGGGTTTTAGTGTAACGGTAAAATAATAAACAAGTTCAGTCCACTGTTTTAATGTGTTACAATATTAGGCGGTTCTGAACATAATCGATCTGACGATGTTGAAGATGATGAAAATAAGCAAAGCAAGGATTGGGATTGCTCTATCTGGGGTGAGGCATAAAGCATACTGTATAGCAGGTGAAATTTGCTTTGGTTCAGAGGTCCCCAACATGACAATTTGATTGTGCACTTTTGTGCTGGTTTTTGCGCCTTTCTCCGTGTAATGCACATGCAATACATGTTATATGTTTTTTGAAGTGAAACATCAACTTGTAAGATTTTAGTTGTGTTATATGTGTTCATGTTGGAGACCATGATTGCAGACAAAAAGCAGGGCCAGGGCATAGGAGAGGAAAGCTTAATTTTTTTTTTTTTTTCAAATGCAGCTCCTCTTTAAATATTCATAGTCAGAGCTTCCTATAGTTTGTTTTCAAAGTTTAACTCTGTATAGTATTACAAAACACATAAAAACTTACAATAACATAAAAAATAAAACAGAGAGACACTGAAACCGGTCACTTTATGGAAAAGGACAAAACACAAAATGAACAAAAAGGAGAGAGAACACAAGAAATGAAACACACGTGCATACAAAGTGTTTGCCAGAGATGATATACTGTGGTGGAAGGGTTGGTCTCTATGAATGAGCCTTCTGGGAAAAAAGTTGAGAGGAATGACAAGCAGTAAAGGCACATGAAGTAATGATAAATATCGAAATGAGTGCCATAAAGTATGTACATGGTATCCTGTGTTAATGGTGTAAATTTTTATGTAAAATAACACTCAATAGTAAACTGCTCTGTACTGAGAAAAGCTCTTATGTTTCGTACCATAACATTACCTCAGGACCTCAAAAGCGTATCTTGATAACAGGCTAGCATGTAGCGTGAAACTTTTCACATGAAGTAGAACAGACTGAATCAGACTGCACCCAAAAAAAATTAAATATCAATATAGAGGACACCATCAGTCTAAGCATTTTATGGGCACTCCAGTTCATATAATCAGGACCCTGTTTAAGTGTAACTTTTAACAATTTATGTGAGACAACATGAAGTCTGCTCGGTGCCTCACAGGCTCTTAAAAGATATTTCGTTATTGCTTACAACTCATATGTTAGTTCTTTGAGTGCATTTTGATTCAGTTCACTATAGTTCTTGCCACTGAAGTAAAAGGTAGCCAAGCTGCAGACAGGAGCAGAGTGGGACTCAGCTGTGGTGGAGTAGAGAGCAGAAAGCTGACAACTGTCAGCAGGTTATTATAAACTTGCCTTTTTGTATTGCTTGTCACTGGCATCTTGTGTGGCTGCAGCAGAAGAATCTGTGGCTTTTAGAGGAGGATCACCTGAGGTTTCTACCAGAGGAGACATAACACCACAAAATAAGGTTATCGATGTATCATTGACTATTGAGTGCTGATTGTAAACAAGCTTAGGGAGACAATTATGCCCATAACTAAAAAATGCCAGATAGCCATTTAAAGCAGGCCTAGGATAAGAAAAACAGACCAGTGTTATCAAAGTTCAAATGTTTGGAAAATATTGCACTGATATATAGACATATTATGTGCATGTACAGTAGATGCATATGAATACAATGTAATAGAACCTGTTTGCATCAGTTCATTTTGAAAGAGTAACGGCCAATGGGGAAACTTGAACAATCAGTGTTCCGACCAATGGTGTAACTTCATCATTCACTCACCAACAGACATTTGTGTTTCTGGGGCGGGCCCCATTTTTAAAGTCCAGCCAAAAGCATGCAATAAAGGTTTGGAAAACTGGTTATAGTTGGTTCTGTTTAGGTATAAGGTCAATGAAATTTTGATTGGTGGATTTTCGTGGGGCAGCCTGTTAAGAAGAAAGTTTATTGCAAGACAAAATAAAACAACCTGACATGTTGTTCAAAGGAAATTGTCACTGAATGCGTCTTTGTACAAATGACTTTGGAAGATTAGATTAGGTCTTTCCATAAACTTTTGTACCTAGATGCATTTATGGTTGCATCATTATTATTTATCATCACAACTATTTGACATCATTTAAGAAAAAAATATTTTGTAAATATTTGAATTTGTCAAGAATTTCCAACCTAAATTGATGTCTTATGTAAATTTTTTTTCATTTATTTACAACTATATTCAAAAATTTACTTTTTAAATTTTGTGTGCATTTTCCAAACATCTGAGTGTCAGTAAATAAAGGCAGAAAGAGATCGCACCATAGATTAGCAATGAGAGTGTAGTTAAAGAAAGCAGGTGATACAGGCCAGGGGAGAGAGGGTGGAAGTCAAAGGAGGCAAAAATCACACAGGTGGGACAAGGTAAAGCCAAGGACAGTCAGGTTATAGAAAGTCAAAAGGGGAAGAGGAGACAAACAGGAAAACAGCCATTTTGATCTTTTAATTTTTCCTTTCCAGACTAGGAAAATCAAAAGATCAAGATGGGTTATTGATCCTATTATTATTACATTATTATTATAAGACTTTTCTTTTACTGCATGTGTGCTTTGATGTGAACAAGAGAATAGTTCTCAGGATTTTAAAAGAAGTCTGGAAGAGCAAGAGAAATCTAAAGAGTCTTTTACTGATTCAAACAAACAGATGTCAGCCACAAGGTAAAATCAGATGTCTGCATAAATAATCATACTCCTCTGAATACCCCGAGTCCAAGACCTTTTCAGCATTCTAGTCACAGGTTATACATTTATACAATAAAGAACCTGTGTTAACCATGAACACTGCTGTTGTTGACAGCAGCACTGGTCTGCAACCTGGAACCTAACGTGGTATTGAATCTTCCTGCCTTTACAGCTGAACCATGGCAAGAACTCCTCAAGTCCGCAAGCAGGAACCCACAACCATACCAATATCGTGGCAAGATGGTGGTCAAACAGCGGCAGAAAGAATAAAGGGGAGTGGGCAGCGCTACTGAGTGCAGGGTTTACACACCTAACAAAAGATGCAGACCAGCTCCTTTGACTTCACTACCCAAACTCACACCTGTGAAGAATGTGGAGGAGGACAGGAGGATAGGGGAGGAGGAGAAAGGGAGAACAACACAAGATAAAAATCATAAAAGACAGAAGCAGCGGGATGATGGTCAAAGCAGGGACACAGCTAAATGGTGTGTATTAAAACAAAGCAGCTGCTGTGCCGGAAATTCAAGTAAAATAGCCACTTAATGAGAAACTGTTAAAAGAGATAAGCACACCCCAAACTGGTCCTGATCCTCAAGGAGCCCAAAATATCCTTTTTTGTAATTACCAGCCAATCAAGAGGTTGCTCTATTTAAAGGCATTTCCTGTACTTGCTAGAGAGGTGTAGGCAGAATAAGATTTCTTTCTTAATATTATCACTTCCTTCCTTTCTGACTCAAAATACTGAATTCAAAACACTAAAACCTCTTCAGTATATTAGAGAAATGTCATGGTTATTTCACTTATTTTTTTGGAACTGTTAAGAAGCAGAGCGGTAGGTGAAACCAGAGAGATATGAACCAGTTGCTAATTTGCTGACGATTTTTAAGGAAGTTTCAACTGACATGATGGTGAGTGGATAATTTTATTCAGGGTGAACCATCCCTTTTGTCAAACATTCTTCAATACATTTGGGATATGTGAGCCATGGTGTGCTATTAGCAAATGAAAAATCAAAACCCCTGAAGCAGGACTGATGTGAGTGACAAAAGTGATGACAAACTGGAGGTCTGAGGTTCACCCCAACTGTAGTAAACCCCTTATACTCTACAATCAGGGATTAATCCTATCACACAATACATCTGCTATATGCAACAATGCCATTTACAAGAGATGTTTTTTGGAATAGATGTAAAGTAATGAGAGCTTTCATCTTATCCAAGGAGAGACAGGCACTCTGGCAAAATGACTTATGAAACACCATACAAAGCAGTTTTATTGTGTTTTTAGTTCATGTTTTGTGAACATAGAAATAAGTCTACCCAGGATTGCTGCGGTTGTATAAGGCATGGATTTTAGCATTGCCTACAAAACTACTGATCTAAAACACATTAGTTATAAGTTATTTGATATAAAGGAGGGCTCTTTGTAGAATCTGTTAGCAACCACAACCATAGACAAGAGGGCTGTTGCAGAAAAAGTAGCAATTTAGAGCATAAAGTAGGCTACTTCCTCATATTTTCTTATAACCTTGAGTTTATGTTATTTCATTCTGCTAAGGTCACTTTGAGGTAAGAGAAACCACAAATACCATACTTTAAGTATGGTAGAGCACCCAACTGAATTGTAAGACACATAATGTAAAAACAGAGGCCGATGCAGGTGTGGCAGACAGGTTTGCTTCAGTACAGCTCCTGTTATCTTAATTTGAAACCTGGACACTGGACTGGGCCTCAGATTTTTGCAAATAACAATTTTATTTTTGTTATGATGCAGTAACTTTATGAAGACATAGTTCAGGTTTTGTTCACTCACCAGGAGACAGGAGGCTTTTGAGGAAAGTGAAGTTCTCTCCTATCTTGTCAAGGTCAGGTAGTAGTTTGGCTATTTCCTCAATCTCTGGTAGAGCCTTGGCCAATTTATCTGTGGATACAAGAGATAATTGCTTAAGTGGAGAAAACAGAAAGGTTGGATAAGACAAAAAGTCTTATCCGATGATGCATAACTGTGCAGCCATGTTTCAAGTATATCCTAAGAATAACTATCCCTGTTTCACTAACTGAAGTCAGGGATAATTTACAATAAAGTTATGGCCTGTTATTATCACATTAACTCACAATCAAGATGTAAACTGTATGTCTTTCACTTCATGAATCAGGGTACTAAAATAAAGATGCTTACCGAGATCAATTTGTTCACTCAGTTCCCAGACAAAATCAGGAATGACCCAGTTGTATTCACTAAAGTCAGGCAGCAAGTCCTTCCATTCCTCATAGGTCTGAAAGTAAACAAACCTTTGTTATTTTCACACATGCAGTACAGGATATAAAAGATTTTATTAAGATCCATTTTATTAGAAATATAATTGATATTTGCAATTAGCAGGAACACAATATGACAGGTGGAAAAACCAACAAATGCATGACACCGCAAATCAGAGACACATTCAATGACTCAATAATGACCTTTTTAGCTGTGTACCCTCCTCCCACTGCCGTGCCCAGCAGAATGTATCGGAGCTTGAGCAGCCTAGCAGCAAGACGGGCCACCCAGAAGTTGCGCTTCTGCTGGTAGCTACGGCCCCCTGATCCAGGAGGTGGCTTGGGTGGTCGCATGGGCAACCGTGACATAGAAGTGAAGTAGCGGGCTGCCGTGCGATGAGGATATCGCTGAGGGTTGGTGTTTGCCGAATAGCGGTGGTGGATGGCACGGGACAGAGGGTGCAGCTTCTGCAGCGGTACCAGAAATCTCATCCCCATGTTGGTGGAGACCAGGTTCCTGCAGGCCATGCTGAAAGGACAGAGAAATAAGACAACAAATTACACAAGCTTGTCTTCCTCATGTGCCTAGACAATACAACATCAGAGGGCGCTTCTAGTCATCCCTTAAATTCTATCTCTAATGATACAAGTACTGACCAAACAGTAATATGAACTCTAATTTGATTCACAAGAGAATCATTCTAGCAGAAAAAATGTGACTCTTTGAAACCAGGGAATCTCAGAGTTTTCATGTTGTAAAAACAGATATTGCAAATAATTGTAATCGTTATTAATTTCCAGCCAAACAAACCAAAATACACAGAACTGATATGTATAATAGTGTACATAACTAAGTCATACTTTGACAAGTTACCAGTTAAGTAAGAGTTAGTACAACGTAGCACCACAATAAGATACAAAATGCAGTCAAAGAGAGAATATTGTGCATATGACCAATTTAGCCATTCAAGGTAACGTTGGCGCAGCAAAATGCATTAAAATCACAATTGAAAACAAATCTACATTCTATGATATATTGCTATCACATATTTAGATACGCATGCGGCGTTAGCTAGTGAATAAAAGGTATTTAAAGGCTGTCAAACAAGTTAGTTTGACTCTGTAAGATCAGACATATCCACCAACCACCGGGGTTAGCTACCTAGCTAGCCAGTTAGCTGGCTAGGTAACGTCCAGAACCCCTACAGCTGCTCAGGGCGCTTTGCAGCTTATAATAAATATGTCAGTGACAGTATTTGAAGAAGGGTTATGAATGTAGATAGCCATAATATATTTAACCAGGGGTCTTTTATTCACAAGGACGACAGCTAGCTTGGCTGTCCTCAGCTGTCAAAAGAACCAGCTGCATCTGTGATTTCCTTACACAGCTAACACAACTAGCTTCAGTAACCACTACCTTTATTAAACATGCACTTACCAGGCGGCTTTGCTCCCGACACGCAACATGGTGCTGTTATCAACAGCAGATTAACACAAATCTTTTTCAAATCCACTCTTTAGGCACAGTTTAATTCATCTTTCCAAATGGTACACATTTCCCCAGCCGCTAACTATCGCGTTAGCTAACAAGGACACAGCCAGAATGACAGTCCACTTCCTGTGGACGTTACTACCTCCAAATCGGCACTGACAGAAAACGAACCAGTGAAGAGTTCCTATGTTGTACATATCAACACCCCTTCCCTAGTTTATGCCTCTCATGTCATTTTGTACGATCATTAACAGCCAGGCCCAACATCAGCTGTGGGTACTAAGCCCACCCTTGAACAATTTTTGTGTGCCTATCACAAATGTGTAGTAGAATGCAGGGACTCTAAACTCTGTATTGAATAGTTTAGCATTTCCAGATGAAATTCCTAAATGTTGCCAAAAACTGGCTGTTGGGCCTCCACTATCCGTTATAAACATTATATTGACTGAAAAATCAATCAAATTATATATATATAAAAAAAGTCAAATATATGGATAATTGATATTATCTTTGTTTGCAGCCTTATAGTACTTTTATGATGGAATAAAACTTTGTGTTAAATACTTAACACACAGAAAGACTTAATCTGTTTGATAAAACACAACCTTGAAACAAACTGCCCATGGGCAGTTTCCTGGTTTTCCATGTTGGTAATCTATCCTTTGTGGAATAATTTACCTAGGCCAGAGTGATAATTTGTAATGTCCTCAGATGATTATAAAATAAGCATAATGATATCTTCATAGAAAAACAGACACTATACAATGATGTTGTCATCCTTGCTTGAAGTTTGTTACATAAGAATGCCATGAATTGTGAGTAATTCCCTCAAAGTCTGCAACCTTGCAGGCATATGTAAAGTTTGCAGTAGACACCATCCTGAAAGCTATCTGTCAGTTGGACATTAAAATTGGCAATACTTAACACGTAACTTGAATAAACGGTTTAGCTATGCATTAGACAAAATGCAATTGAGATTAAGGCACACAGGACCTTATGTAAGACATATTTGTGCACTTTAAGGTGAGTGCGAACATCAGAGAGGGCAGGAACTGCACAACACTGAAGCTGTACAGTATATTTCCCAATTCAGGAGCAGGATCCTCCAAACTCAACATTTCTGGAAAGACTGCATAAAATGGATTTACAAGGCTTGTCAAATTTCAAAGGCTCTTCAAAATGAGATATCCTGTGCCTGAATTTTGAGGTGATCCATGTCAGCTTGTTAAACTAGTAAAGTCTTGTGACCAATTCACATTTACCAGGTACTGCACTCAGGAAAACTCTATAAACAATATACTTTGAATTTCTTCTACATGTTGACAACTCATACCCATTCTCTAGATACAACCATGTACTTTTCTGTAGTTTCTGCAGCATTGTGGAGAATGACAATGGAGACAAAGTAATTGTAGACTTGCAACAGTGTGTTTTCAGAACATTTATTGAAAAGAAAGAAATCAAGATAAATCTGAAATACAATCCTCAGGGAAAAAGAAATGGAAATAAATAAAAAATAAATTATAAAGTACAAAAATTTTCAAAAAAATGTATATCTCTGCCAATAACAAAAACACATATACCCCAGGTGAGCCTCTTTCTGAGGTGTGGGAGCTGCAAATAAAAAGCACACCAATTAAACTCTACTGAAAGAGCTGACATACAGATGGACTGTAATAAATCTTTTTTTTTTTTTTTACCAACAATATATTTTCATTCAGTTTGGGTATCAACTTCTATTATTTTCTCTGTTCATTACAAATAGACATTTCCCTGAGGAAACAACATCCACATGAGGGTTCAAACACTCAGTGGCTGACTCAATCTAAATGCCATTCAATGGTTTGTTTAAAATACGTGATGTGACTAAGAGGCCAATGCTAACTGTCAACAGTCGGTATATGTTGTACCTGTGTAAGAGCATAGAGGTTTCAGCATAAAAATCAATTGCTTTGACATAGCTGTGTCACAATAAAAGGCAAAACTACGTAAGAGAAAAGCAACAGTATTTACACTTTGCACATCATTAAATTGATGAATTTTCTGTATCAAGGTGCACGATAATGACACAGCTGAGACCGAATCATTTTGCCCCTAGCAGCAATATAATCACATCTACAACAGACTGCTGATACGAGCAGCAATGCACATTCTTTTTGCCAATTTCATCATTTTACACAGATGCAAAAGATTTTTAATAGGTTCTAGACAAAAAAAGTAAAATGTGTATATTGGATGATTTGACAGAAAAGTAACAAGATTGTCGCATGTTTCTCAAATTCTGAATTTGCCGAGATGAGGTGCTAAATACACTACATCAGTTGAATTCCCTTCTTGTGTCAGATCCTTGGTTTTATACAAAGCATTGAGACAAATTAGGAGAAAAAAAGCTGAGAAGTAGATCTACTATAGGAACCTGCAAAAGCTATTTTTTTCCATTCAGGTTGGTTCAAGTTCAACTTCTTTCAAACTCTAAAGTAGACATTTGCTCCATTATTTTTAACCAAGACAGAACAAATATTGATACAAGTGCCCCAATCATACTTCACAATAACTGATTGAAATTGTGAAATAAATGCCCAGGATTCATGCCCAAATAAAGAAGATCCAAGCTAAAGCCTCAACAAAAGTCAAAGTACAAACAAATCTAATAGACAGTACAAATCAAAAATTGACAAACAACTGATTGTAACACAGTACCAAAATAGCAGACAAAGACACACCAGCCCTTTGATAATCCAAAAACCATACATTTTTATAACTAAAACTTTTTTGACTTTTATGCACACACTAGAAATGTACATCTCATATATACAGATAGAATCCATCTTATAATATTATTATCAGTGTTTAAAGTCAACTTCAGCTGAGACAAATCAGATTTGACAGAACTGAACACAAGCTAAAATAAACTTTTTTTTTTTTTCTTTTTTCAAACGATGTGATGAAAAGTCTTTGGAAACAGAATCAATAACCATAATATTGCATTGCATTAAATTTTGCTCTTTACACAACATTCAATTTTAGCCTCAGTAGGTATTTAGAGAAAAACAATTAAACCCTGAAAGCAAAGAAGAAAAAAAAAAAAACAGAATATTCAGAAGCATAGAAACCCATGTGGCTCATGTTTGGGCACATCAGCAACATTTTTTAAATCCCACAAAAATAACAAATTGAGTCTAAGATTTTTTTTAACAAAATATCATAATTCTTCTGCAAACTGGCACAACAATGTCCATTTGAGGATGTTATGCTTTTCTTACCAGTTTCATCGACTATACATCTGTCTTCTCACACTGACAATTTGCCCACACAATGCTATAACAAAATACTATCACTTTCCTCATCAAATAAACAATGCATCTATGAAAACTATTGTCACATGTCACATTTGAGCTTGTCATAATAAAAAAAAAAAAAAAAAAAAAAAAAAAAAAAAAAAGTTTGGATCACAAGTTTCATATGCATTGGAATATTATTACAAGGATCTCAATCGACAATGGCTTTTAGCAACTGAGCAATGTCAGACGTGTTATAAGTGATGTTATGGAAATCTATTGTGACTGTTTCTATATGTATAAAATTATTAATAATTAATGGACAAGCTAAAGGTGATGCTATATGTCATACAAAAATCAGATAATAGTGTTTTTGCCAGACTTTTGAGAAATAATTTGCTCAATGTTGTCATTGGAGAGGAAGTAACTTTACATTTACTTGACATTCTTTAGACACGCTGACTCATAACCACTGAGTTGCACTATGAAAATACTTTGAGACACACACCATTTGAAATGATTAACATGAAACCATATAATTCTTAAAAGGCAGGGTGCTTAGTTATACTGACAGTGGGAACGAGCTGCATGTATGTTGGTGTTTTTTCTTTAAAGTGATTCTCTATCCTAAATCTGCATTTTGACAATCAAACATTATCTCTGGTGGCTTTAGGAAGTTTGTAGCTTTCTCTTATGGTGGCTGTGGAAATCTTGTGTCAGTCATAATGATTTCCAATGGTACCAATTTTCATGGCTGAATAAAGTATCAAAATGGAAAAATACCTCCTCAATCCACTGATGAAGTGTAAACTGCTTCTCTGCTGTTCATCTGTTTGCTCAGTACATCATTACTGGAATTTAATTCTACCGATTTCTCGCAGTAAGGTTTAATTAAGAAAGAAACTACAAACTTTTACAGTCGCTTTCAAAGTCTACAGGAGTGTGTGAAGAATATTTTCAGAACAGATTTTGGCGAGCATCACTTTAAACGTCAAAGAAACAGCAGTGAACATAAAATATAGCCCTTATCTCTCTATGCAGGTAGCCTATGTGCAATACATGAATACAACTGTACATGGTAATCTGCATCTATTTTATGCAGGGTGTGCTGTTGCGTGGATCTTTTGAATGTGCCAAGAGCAGCGAGCAATTGGGATGCACAATTCCTTACCTCAATTTACTATCACACTTTTAATCAGTCTTCCATAGGAAGAAATTTTGTTTGAAAAAAAAAAAAAAGAAGGAAAGAAAGAACTGGCTTTCTGAAGCCAATCTGATGTGAGTTTGTAGATGTAGGATTCTTTGATTCATATGGTCTCATGCATGTAAATTAACTGTTAACCAGTCAGATTCATGCTGCTTCTTGTGCAGATTTTTTTTATTTTTTTTTATTTTTTATAAACAGACATGTGAATGTAAATGTTTTTTAATTCTACAGTAATGCTGTATATTTGTAGTAATATTTCTAGTATTTCAACCATCTAGTCTTTCAAGTCTTCAGAACATGACAAATAGGGAAATGGCTTCATGCAAATCTTGGTATGCTTTCAGGTTCCTGTCTGATGTCAGAAGTTGAGAGGACAGGGCTCACATATGCAAAAACACAAGATTAATGGTTTATAGCCATGATAGCAGCCCATGAGGTTGCAGAGCTCATTACACACTAGAAAGCAACTTTTTGATGGATGAAAATCATTTAGTACGTTAGCAAGCTATGTTGGCTTTAATATTACAGTACAGCTGAAGTTGATGAGAATTTAGTCATTAGCTTTAGAGGTATCTTGTTATGAACTGAAGTGTTGTTGACTGGTTGGTGGCATGACATGGAAAATACAGCAAGGAGCTACAAAAAATAAATGAATGTCTGTGCCATGGGTCATGGCAATGCATCCAATAGTTTTTGAGATATATCAGTCTGGACCAACAGACCAATGGATTGACTATGCTAGCATGGCTAAATTGACAGTTCCTTTTGTTACTGTCTTTTTTTTTTTTTCATTTTTTGACTTTTCTACATAATATCTTTGTTAAAAACCAGAAAGGTAATCTCTGACAAACTGACAAACATGATGGATAGTCTGCCACAGGTCCCAGCCTGTGGGTGAGAGTGGATGAGCACATCTCACTGCCCTCTTAAAGTTCTTTACTTTTTAAAAGCCATAATCTTCTGAATGTGTATTAACATTATGGCCTCATTATTTTATGCTTTCAATCATCATCAGCCTGCGATGTATTATGTATTGAAATTTTAAAAGCCCACTTTTTCTAAACCTACCTTGCCTACTTATATTGTCAACACGACATTTTCTGTTTACATGAATTTAAATTAAAGTTGGCCAGGCACAACAGTATGACTTTCAGAGGCCACGTCACACGACATCAGGCCTACAAATACTTTACATGTGTCTTATGAAAAAATATTTTCACTTATTGTGCAGTTCCCAAATCTTATGAAATCTGGACGGACCTGATTTTATTCTCTAAACTTTCCGTGACCTGTATAATCTGCTCTTGACAACCAATTTGATATGCATATTTTTGTGTTTATTATAAAATGTGAATATAAACTTCTGCCTGGGGTGTGCAATTTAACAAGACAGACTACAGCTGTTCATCGTTCCCAATTTTCTACAATTCTCGGTGTGCTTAAAAGAGTATTTGAATACTGGCTTCAAATAAGTAATCACTGGGGGTCCCATAGTAAGATTTAAAAATATTTTTGGTTATCACTCTGTCCTCTCTAATGAGTGCTTCCCAGGTGGTTATGCTAGCTCATTAAAATGACGCAATATAAACGTACATTAGATGTATAAGACCACTACACAGTAGCAATCAGAGCCTGCACTGCCCACAACAGGTAAGACGTATGAAACCAGCTATTCATTGTGTGAACGTCCTAAAAGCGGGATGATGGCTGCTCAGAAATACAAACACAGAATGAACATCTGCATGCTGCTCTATGATCACATCATACTGAGTTGGTCAGTGCAGCCACCTACAGGTTTCTATTCATTATTCTGTGCACATTCAACTCTACCAGCCTTTCCACTTCTAATAACAGAATCTCTCCATTTTCAAAGTGGAACCTCTTTCTTCTGCCCTCTTCTTCAAACCTTTATCAACCATTCCTCTTACTCACCATTCCAGCCAGAGTGGGTCACACTGAAGTAAAGTACAACAGTTCAACTGGGCTAGCATCCGTTTCATCCTATACTCTACTTCTCTATTTTCTATTTTTACTCAAAATGGATATCTAGTACTGTGGTGGTAATGAAATCTGAAGAGCGGGCTATTTTTAACAATGGTATAATGGCAATTACTTTCTAGCATTTAACACCATTCCATCTGACAGCATGTTTGTCAGAAGCTATTTCTCAAGTGGAGTGGAACTTTGGCTCTCTTTTAAACCGCTTTCAGACAGATAATCTTAAGAGGTCATCGTGCTAATTCAACCTGTTTTATCAATCCTCCTCCCAATGTGGGCTGACTGCTGCTCAGCTTTGGTGGACTCACATTGCAATAAGGGGTGGGAATTAAATTTGATGTTACGGATGTTTGAATGACATTTAAATATAAGCAAGAGAGACCTGAGCGCGCGCAAGTGGGCGAGACAGAGAGAGCAAGTACTGAGAGAACTGAAGCTTAACTTTATTTGGTACTTATGTGTAATTCTATGGTTTTTGCAGTAATGTCTCTGGAACTACAGTATTAGACGCAAGTCTCTGTGAACGGTGACGACAAGCAATCATCCTGTGACAATTTTACGTGAAGAGGTTGAATGTGCATTCACTAAGCACGCATATGAAAGGTGAGACTGAATACTGTGAGGGGCTGTGGTGGTGCTAGGAGTTGATCATAATTTGATAGGTGGAACCATTTCCTGGGCGGGGTTTGGCTTCAGTGGTGGTGGTTGGCTTTGGAGGCCAGTCGGGGTCCACACTGAGCTCCTGGGCCAGATGCATGTAGCGGGCCTTGGGCGTCTTGCGTGGGCAGCAGAGCCAGGACAAACACTTGTACGCCCGCAGGTCAATGCCCCCCTGAAAATACCACAACCCCAAAAATAATATATAAATAAATAAAATAAAAATACCAGTGAAAGGAGGAAAGGGAGGAATGAAAAGTGGTGTCATACTTTGTTCAGGTTTTCTTATAACACTTTTACTGACAGTGACATGCTACTTTATAACTGCTGCATGCAAAATATGAAACTGGAGAGGAGCCATTTGTGTGATACACAGGCACATTTCTTTACACTGGTAAACTACAACAAGTGTGCATGCATGCAAGTCATTCAAAACAAAATTCAGCATGATAATAGTTTGAAGGAGTTGGCAGTAGACAGCTTAAAGGGTGAGCCTTCTACTAAAAAAAAAAAAAGCTCATGGAGTCAAAGATCAAACAAAGAAAGGATTCCAAAGAAAATCTTTACAGATTAAAAAAAATAAAATAAGTAAAAATTTCAAGGCTAGCCTGCTTCAATTGTAAAGCTACTGTACTAGTACTGTACTGTACTTGTACTAGTGTTGACTGACAGAGTTAGGTAATGAGGAAACTAAGGGAAAGTGCAGTAAGTAGAGCTTGGTAGGAAGTAGAGGCGCAGTAAATGGGACAAAGGAGGTGGCAAGCAGTCATACTTCTACGGAAAAAGTAATAGGAGATATCCAACGCTTTGAAAATGTAGTTAATGTTTTTCCACAACAATGTGTATGGTACACATTTGCACATATAAAAACTTGATACTTACTTTGCACTTGGAACAAATTCAGTAATTTTAATTGTAGTAGTGTATATCACATCCTTTAAATGGTTGATCTCGCAGATAAAAAGGTTTAAATTGCTTTAAATACTATCATGCCTGGTCTGGCTGGATGATTTCTTCTGTTACTTCCTTTAATTTTGGCAGCTGGCTAGAAAAGAAATGGTGCACTAACTCCAACATCTCATCTCTTGTGCATCAGATTGCTTCCTCTCTAATCCTCGTTCTGCCTGACAACTTTGAAATTTTTTAGCAACACATGACTCAGAAATTTAACATACTGACAACTGAGCGTGATGGTTTTTACCACCTTGTTAAAAACGCATGTTATATGGTTATATTCTTGTGAGTGAGAGCACTTGACCACCGAGTCTCGAATTAAACCAATGACTTCCCAGTCATAGGCCCATTTATCTCAATGTAAATGTGTTTATCAGTGAGCTTCAGCAAGAATGTTATAAAGTAAACCAATTATCCTGAGAGGCAGTTATGAAGCTTATCTCACAACAGCGGTTTGGAGTATAACTGTAACTAAGCCCTGAACAGAGTGCCCATTAGAAGAACATGAGAGGATATATCAGGATGAGACTGATGTCTCACACATGCATGTCTTGGTTAGAGGTTACAATAGAAAGGTGCACTCTGTAACATTAGAGAAAGAAGTGGGGACAGAAAGAAGGAACACCACACAAGAGGAAAATGAAAGGGCTAAAGAAGAAGGTGTCAGATTTTCCCAACCTGTGGTGTCGGGGCGACAGGAGTGATGCTGCCCTGTTTGTCTCGGCTGAACACAAGCTTCCATAAGACGATGTCAAGGATGAAGGTCTATGGAATAGCGCAGTGGGCAGGGGAAAGAATTACAGAGAGGCTAATTTGATTTCACATAGCTCCTGCTATTTTTTTTTTTTTTTGCACAGAGGTCTTCAATTATGTTTGCATAGCCACATTGTATTGAAGCTTTATCATGTGTGGCATTTTTTTTTCTTCCATGAAGTTGTGTGTTAATCATTACATGTGATGTTAAAATTAAATTAAACAAAATTAGTAAGAAGAGAGTGCATGGATACCATTGTATCAAAATACTGAAAACTCTGCAAATGTTTGATTATGTGCAAAATCATTTTTGCTCGATTTCAATTCACTTAAAAAGGTGAAAGGAATTTGCACTGGCAGTTTAGGAAATAGCTTCATCTAAAGTGTCTGCTAAGCAGTGTGTGTATGCAAGAGCAGCCATCTAAAAAGGAAGACAGAGGTGTAGTGATATTGCTCCACTGAGTGTGGCAGGCCAGCATAAACTATCCATTCTCATGCAGTAGTACAGCAATAAGTCATTTTCTTAAAGAGCATCCGTCTGTCCAAAAGTTAGACAAGACAAACAGATGCTGCTTTGAGGAATTTCAAAAGCCTCACTTATACATGCGTTTCATCAAAAAAAAGAAAGAAAAAAAGTCAAAAACGGTCACATAATTCAAGTATTAACAATTACAGATACCATATTTTGTCTCTTTGAAGACACTAACATTTTCACTTTAGAACATTTCTTCTCACAACACAAGATCAATCCTGCTGTCCAGCTAAGTGAGACAAAGATGAGCACACTGCATGAAAAAACAAAAACTGAACATGAGAAAAACATCTACCGTTACCATGTGTGCATGTGTGTGTGTCTTACCTCCACCACAACAGACACAGCAGCATTGACTAGGATGATGAGGAAGAGTTTTACCCTCCATTCAAATGGGACACAAACAATCTGTACAGAGAGAGAGTGCAAGAGCGAGAGAGAGATAATCCAACTATGACCATTAAGAACTCACAAAGTGATCATAACTAAAAATGCCTTTCTTAGTGCTTTGTGTATCTACAGCAGTTCAGTGAGGCACATATTAATGAACTTACACATGTAAGAGTATAAGGCTTGGCATGATAAAAGAAACTGCAGTCTAAACCAGAGCTGAGAAAAGGTGTATATTTTGATGTCTTCTTACCTCAAGAAAGCTGTCAATGGTTTCAACAGGGTGGAACATGATGAACAGGAGGAAAAAATACAAACCCAAGGCAGACAGCACAAAAGGCCCTGAGTAGTGCATACACAAGCACAAACACACACACAAATTTTAAATATAGAAAAAAGAACACTGTAACTACTTTATGACGGACTAATTAGTCTTAAGAGGGAAGTTTCTTACAATTCTTGTAGCTAGGCTGCCTGAAAGGTTTGCCCTTTGAGAAAACGATGGCAACAATGAGATACTGGAAGGAGGAGATATAGAAGAGGCTGGTGTTCTCATAGTTTTGGATGTTGTGGTCGTCCACTTCCGTATCGTTGTGGTCAGAGACGTTAATGTGTGATGACGAGTTGCAGGCGCTGGGTGAGGACAGAGATTGATTTGAGAAGAACATCAAAATACAGGAATTCTGTTTCATTGAACCAAAAAATAAATTAAAAAATAAGATATAATAAATAAAATGAAACTCATACATACATACAAACAAGAGTAATTAAATGGGGTATTCCACACCAATAAGCATCGTGAAATGATAAGGTAAAAAAGCAAGGTAAAATATTTTTGTTAGGTTGCTGTACATTAGCAATGACAGCAAGTACTCACTCTGCAAAAGGTGTCCAGGCTGTGTACCAGGGCTGCTGTCGGACCCAAAGGAATGTAATGGTCTGGAAGCCCAAGCAGATGAGGATCTGGGTCAGCACAGAGAACAACAGAGGCCCTGAGATCAGACCTGACGGTGGCCGACGTGACACAAGCTCTTTCCATGCTGGATTCAGACTCACTGATGAGGAGAAAAGACAGAAAGTAGAGAGAATGCATGAGATATGACAAAGCTATAATGCATATTGCCTTATCAATGTTACTCATCTTCTACTTACTGGTAAAGACAATAAGGAGGATGATAGCAACATCAATGAAGAGGAACTGGAAGTCTCCAAGGTTACTGAGGATCTAAGAAACAAAAACAACAGACAGCACAGATCAGACTGTAAATTCATTGGACTTCTCCACAGCTACTATTGATTATGGAGGCAGCAATACGTACGGAGTAGAGGAGAGTGACACTGATATACTGGATAATGCTGTAGAGGGCCATGAACTTGAACACACAGAAGGAGGTGATGAGAGCAGCACGGCCCTCCCTGTAAAAGCAAGCAACCACTGTGTTAATAAGTAGTCATTTTAATCCATTTCAAGAAAAATACTTTAAAACTGCACTAAATGAAGGAAAACTAAATGCTCGAACATGAGCATTTTCCAATCACTATATCAATAACCTTTGCATCATTAAAAAAATACCTACAAAATTGCAAGTAAAAACGAAATTATCCGTCTTTGATGATTTTGAGATGAGATTTCCCTTCAAGTTTTATTTCGTATTCGTATTATCTCTTTTATTTATTTATTTAATGTGTGGCATGCAAATAAATAGAAGGCAAAAAAACCTGATCAGGCTGGGGACACAGGAGATGTTGGGAGTCCTGGAGGTGAAGGGAGAGGCTACAGAGGCCTCGAGCTCTGAGAGAGAGATGCCACCATGAGCCCTCTTCAGAGCCTGGGTGAGGAAAGAGAGAAAGATAGCTTCTAAACAGACTGAAGTCGATTTATGTCCATGTTATTGTGACACCAACATTCGTGGCTATACATACCCCACAATCATTTGCTCCATCTCCACACATCCCCACAAAGTAGCTGTGAGCAAATGATAAGAAATAAGTGACTCTGTGCTCAATGGTACTATTTTTTTTTTCCATTAAAAATTCCATTAAAGAAGTCTATTAAAAAAAAGATTTCTACAATTTTGACTTATGACTTTTACTATTGATGATAATCTAACAGCCTCTCAGCAGAAAGCAGCATACATTGTAAAATATATAATAAATAAACTTAACAATCCTTGTCAAAGTATTTTGTCATAGCTACACCATGTGTTTGACTTAAATACTCACTCAACGCCCTGCAATGCCTCAATAAGCTGGGTTTTCTGGTCTGGGGCCATTCTGGCAAACACTGTCCCATGCAGCACCAGCTACAAGGCAGAACACACGGTCATAACGGCAGAAACATTAGGTATTGTGTACAGTGGGAACAACTTTAACATTTCTACTCCAGTTACAGAAAAGGCCAGAGTGACATCCATCCTCATTTAAGGGACATCATACCTTTTGAAGCATGTCGGGGAAATGCTCTGCGATTACTGCAAATGATTTTCCATTCATAGCAAAGTGGTACAGCTCTTGTGTTTTGGGCTCATCTACATGGCACACATCCTCCAGGCTGATGTTCACTTCCTGTAGAGAAAGTACAGATTAGAGCCAAAACATTACAAGAATAAGATACCACATAGCCTAAATCATCAATAAGTTAAAAATTAATATATATTATATATATATATTAATATTTCATAAAAGGTTTTATTTGTATTAGATTGCATTATGTAAACAAATTGATTTAGTTGCATTATGTCACAATTTAGTTTTTGAAACTTTTTTTCCTTTTATATAAACTGAAAAAAGGTATTTGAATTCAATGTATGCCTGCATGCAGTGCGTGTCTGATTGTGCAAGCCTTTTCATCTGTTGCTCCTGTACGTGTTTTGTGTTTGTGCAGTTATTCGCATTAGTATTAACTCCATCGCCTCACCTCCAGGCAAGATGTCTTGCTCGGCTTGTCAGCGTATCTCCAGATGATCTTGGCGGCCTGTCCATCATGGGGAGGGAGGGCATCAGCGATGATGACTGTGTCCTGGGGAGGGATCATTCCACAGTCTCGGGCCACCGAAATCGCTGTCAGCATATTGTCACCTGGAAAGTGAATGGAGTAAACATTTATCATTATTATGGACCAAAAGTCCATAAATCAATGATTTGTTTTCCTGACACACATCCCCGAATTTTCTTTGAATGGTCAAACCATTAACTGTCCAGTAAAAAGCTCAAAGCTGTAGCCTCAGAACTACCCAAATGAGTCTATTGAATTATGTTCCTCCATCTGTTCTTTGTCTGCCTCTCCTACAAATAGAGTTTGCCTGCTTGTAACTGATGGTAGAACGGTGAATAGAAATACAAGCTCATTGTGCTGGAGCACTTTACTACCACAAGGGGACACTATCAAATGGGTTTGAGGTGTGATGGCACAGGCTGTGTTTGCAAAAAACATATACATACAGATACATACATACATACATACATACATCAGAATAGCCTATAAAATCTTATTGCTTGTTTTTAAATTACTGAACAGCCTGGCTCAATCTTATATCATTGAACTTCCCCCTATATCCCTGCTTGCTCTCTTAGATCTGCAAATCATCTGTTGTGCTCAGTTCCAAGGGCAATGCTTGAGACAGAGAGTGGTAGGGCAATTGCCGTGAGGGCTTCTCAACTGTGGAATAATCTCCCGTTGAGAATTAGGCAAGCTACCTCAGTGTCCTCTTTTATAAAATAATTTCTTTTATAAAAAGGCTTTTAAATGAGTTTCTGTTTGCATTATGCTATTATTGTTTTTATCATTTGAAGGTTTTTATTTCATTGCCTTTTATCTATATATCATGATTGCACCGTTTTTTTTGGACTGTGAAGCACTTTGTAAACTTGTCTTTCGAAAAGTGCTATACAATTAAAATTCATTCCTCTTATTATAATTATCATACAAATACCATGTAGTATGTGCAGACCATGAATCACTCATGAATTCTAAATTCACTTTCAGCTTCAACCTTCACAAGACAGAGGAAAATGTGAAAGGAAATAAAGTAAAGAAGAAAAACAACAACAAATGATCCTCTGGTGGACACTGGAGTTAGTTTGTGCCAGTTAGACTGAGCAGCCTAGAAATGTTATTAGTTGAGATTACAGGTACAGCTGAGTAAATACCAGAGGGACTAAATCTATCCAGTGACAAAACACAAGAGATTACCAAATTTACTGTGCTCCTTGTGTGATAGCAATTCAAGAGCTTTAACCAGCTAGAGGAAGAAGTGTAAAGATTGTGTGTATAGGTATTGTAAGTTAATGTTTACAAATTTGTGTGTTTTGCATTTCTAATTAGGGACTGTCATGATGCAAATACTGTCCTAGTTTTAGGCTGTGTGTACATATGTAGACATGTGTGGCTGCTCTTACCAGTAACCATGACAGTGCGGATATTGGCCTGGTGAAGGTCCTGGAGCACCCCTGGGGTTTCTGCCTTCAGTTTGTTCTGCATAATGATCAGACCCAGGAACTCCATGTTTGTCTCTATGTGATCCCTAGTTCAAAGGAAGATATGTACAAATTAGTAATTAGGTGTCCAGTCCAAAAAGCTTCAAATACAAAATAGTATTGGGGACACACATACTATTGCGCTCAACATCAACTTGTCTATGTTTCATCATTTTGAGTACACACTTTGCTCGACACAGGAAGCCCTTTTTACGTTTTCTTATTTACACTCAGTGAGCATGTTATTAGGAACAGCATACTGAGTATGGCCTCCCTTTCCTCTCAAAACAGCCTCAGTTCTTCTTGGCATTGATTCAACAAAATGTTGGAAACACTCCTTTGAGATTCTGGTCCATGTTGACATGACTGCATCACATCATTTCAGCAATTTTATGTGCTGCACATTCATGCTGCCAATCTCCTGCTCTACCACATCCCAAAAGTGTTCTACTGGATTCAGCTCTGGTGACTATGGAGGCCAATGAAGTACACTGAACTTATTGTCATGTTCATGAAACCAGTTTGAGATGGCTTTTGGTTTGTGACATGGTGCATTACCATCCTGGAAATAGTCATTAAAAGGATGGACATAGACAAGAGGAATACAGGTATAAGAGTGTCTAAGATCACTGGTGTGAAGTAGGATGCTCAAATGGAGCAGCAATCTTCAGATACGGTTCTCTGGAAGGGTAAATTAGTTGAAATCAAGGTCAAAAGCAACAACAAACAGTAAATGCTACCTATTAATGTTCTGAACTTTGTGCCACGTGAGTTTGGATTCGAGTCGACGGTGAGCCAGAGCAATCACCCTGAAACCCTGCTTGGTGTAGCCCTCCAAAACCTCTGCAAAATTCTCTGGCACTGCAGATAGACAGGTAGACAGTGGAGAAATGATTAACATCAGAGAGGTGCAACCAGCAGGAAAATAAGACATCAAAATTCTATGGCTTTTGTGCTCAGGTCAGGGATCAGAGGTTACCAAAATTTACAGATACTGTACTGATTATATTTGATGCGCTGAACCCCTACACATTTGGCAGGCTAGTGGGCTAAAATAAAACATAGTGCACTTCCCAGTGCTGGTGAACACCATAGGAGTTAGTGCACACCTCACCTGTCTCTTTCTTGCAAAGACTTGCCACCACCTCTGGCGCGCCCTTTGTGTACGCATTCATACGTTTCTCCCCCAGCAGACGAGCAACCACACTCATTCTCTGGAGAGCTGAGGAAAAAGGAAACTGGCGCACAATACCTATCTCATACGCTGACTGCACATGCACACACACAGGCACACACACACGCACAGTCACAAAATAACAGTGTATCATTTATATCAAGGGGAAAAGGCTGATTGATACTGAAAATATCGATAATGCTAAATTGACATAGGTGACCAAATTGAGAAGCATTTGAGGTATCTATGTTAGTATGGAAGATCAGTGTATGGACAAGTCTACATTTTTTGCCAACATTAACAATATAAGTCCACTGTTCATGCTTACAGTTGTTTAAGATAGACCTGTGCCATTCATTCTAATGGAAACCAACACAAATTTGATTACTACATTTTGACTTCTTACCGAGAGCTCATAGAGTTCCTAGAATGAGAAAAAGAGCAGACAGAGATAAGCTGGTGAGAAAACATAATGTAAAGACAAATAAACCAATCATTAAGTAATAATGTTTCCTGTTGTTACAGTATACTATGATAGTAGTGTCTTTGTTGCAGTGTTTGTTTTCATTACAGCCAATATACTGTGGATTTAGGTCAGAAAAACACAACCTCAATTAGGCCGACTACAAAACAAATCCGAAAATTTTAAATAAAATCTCTTAAGACCTCTCTCAACCTCTAATATTAGATTGATATATATTTCACTTTTTCTTTATGTTCATAGGATAAAAATGATTTATGATTTTAGATATTTCTCAGACTTCTATCCTGTTGAACAACTGGGTTGCTGTGCGTACCATGTCCTGTTCTTGAGATACGGCAGGCTCTGGGGGCAACAGCTGCTTTGGGGGTCGAACCACAGTGGGCATGATACGGTTGTGGAGAGATGTTTCCTCCTCAGTGGCCTCTTCCAGGATCTGGGCAATCAAAGGTTTAGAGAAAACATGAATCACAAAAATGTCAATGAAACAAAAAATATAGATATAAAGAAACATATTTGACACAATAAGTATCTTTCAGATTCACTCTCTCTCTACACAAATAGCCTACGCATAAAATGGATTCCATATGGCTGTTGGTCCCAATATATCTTTTTAAGGGTGGTCTGACTTATGACATTTCCATTGTCATACCCTGAACAACTTTAAGATTATGGATTGACATAGAATAACTCACCCAGCCTGTAGCCTCAAACATTTTGAGGTCCAGTGGGTCTCCAGACAGCTGGCCCTCTATTTTGGTAAGAGAGTGGCAAGTGGCCATGCAAGCCACAAACTGGGACTTGACAAGGCTCTCCTTGTAGGCATTTTCCTCCGACAGGTGGAAACTGGACAGACAGGAGAGGTAGGTGGATAGACGACAAGTTTTACTCAGACATATACATATTTTTATTAAATGAAAAATGTAAATCATAATGAGAAAGAAAATGCATGTATGAATGTATAAAAAACAACTGGTGTAATATCAGTGTATGATTATAGACAAGGTGGACAAAGTACACAACTTTATTATTGGAGTCAAAGTATAAATACTCCTGGTCAAATATTACTACTTATTACAGTACAAGTGAAAGTTGTTCAGTCAGATTACTTGAGTTAAAGTACTGGCTACATTCTTTTAAAAATGCTTAAGTATTCAAAAGTAGCTTACATTTTTTATGTCAATGCACTGTTGCGTTGTTCAACAGTACATTTACAGAATGTAACAACTCTGAAACACCTACTTACTTGTAGAAGACGTTGGATAAAAAGCTCCTAGAATATGTTACGAAGCCTATAGAAATGGCCATGAAAACCCAATTGAATCCACAAAGGAACAGCCATTGTCATTTTTTTTTTTTTTTAATTTTGCTAATAATCCTGTATCTTGATAGTTAGTAGTAATCTAGTTCAGCTTTTTGAAAGAACCAGAGACATTTCAGCAAATTCAAGGTCTATCAGGGTCACGTTAGCATTTTTTGTTCAATTTAAGTGTCTGAACATCAAAAACATAAGGAAATGTAACCATCAGCAGGCAGATTTTGTAAATATTTAAAATGTTTGTCACCAATGCAGCCTGAAATTCACTAAAACAGTATTAGTTTCAGGTGTGCTAAATTGGAGTAAAGACCAGCTTACCTGCCATTCTCAACTCTCTGGACTCCCCACAGGTCTAATCCATCTTCTGTCAGAGTTCCGGTCTATAAATAGAAAGTAAGTAGAATAGAATTTAATTGAATAGATGGGTTCTGCATCACCCCACAACCAAAGGCAGGTGGAATTAATTTGGGTAACATAATTAGTTACTTCTTCATATCATCATACCAACTCCAACATCCACAATATGACTAATTCTTTGGTAACTCAGGTCCAACTACTATTCATATTACCATGTTTCTGTTTATTTTCTTTCATTTCAGATGTGTAATTTCTTGCTGGCCTTGATTGAAACATTTGACTGAGAAGAAACAGCAGTCATTCAACCGCCAATGCTCACCTTGTCAAAACAGACCAGATTGATTTGCCCACAGATATTGATCCTTTGTGGGCTGATGCAGAAAATGCCAATGTGTTTGAGGCGTCGCTGGGCGTACACAATGCCAGCTGTCATGGCAGCTGGCAGCGCTGGTGGCACAGTTATTGTGATGATGTCCAGGGACTCAATGATGATGGTCTTAGCTGGCACCTAGGGAAGGCAAAAAGGAGAACATTTTTATGCATGTCTCATAATCACTTTGTCTTTGATTATCATCTCTCAAACTATAAATCAGGTAGGGATTCACAATTCACTCTCACTCATTTGTTGGTAGGGCTGCTAAAATCCTGGTTTCAGACTCAAATATGTGGCCTCTCCAAACATGAGCTGCAGAAATCCACTTTAGGCTTGACCGGTGTGGAACAACAAAGTTTCTCCAGGGTATGTTTCTCCCCTGATTGTTCATATTAACAACAAATCCAAATAAATGACCCAAACAGGCTGATCCTTTAAGTCTGCTGCTAATCCTACCAAAAGCCTAGAATGCAAACTAACGTCTCACACAGTTCATGTTCTGCAGCACGCAGAGATCCACTAATATATTACAGTGCTGTGTGTTGCTGAAAAACGTTTTGTGCAATGTTGCATTAAGGGAAAGGAATATCTTTTCCACTGGACTCATTGGGTGACTCTCAAAAAGTACAGCTAGTTTTGGCATTTCATCAGACTAACTCCCAATTACACACTGCTGAATTAAAAGAGGAAATTGTCTAACTGAAATTTTAATTGACTTTACACTTTTAGAACAAACCCAAAATGTTTTTTCTTGGATTCAAATAAAAAACACTAAAAACTAACACAAACTGACTTATTGTGACTGTCTTATTAGTCCCATTACTATTAATAGTTTTATACATCTTTATGTGGAACTTGTATTATGCTTTGTTCTCTTTCTTCCATCTCTCTCTCCCTCTTCAGCCGCCTAGTGGGCAAAAATTTCTCAACTCAGTTTAAGCTGCAGCCACAGTGAGCTTTTCATTCATAAGCAGATTAAACTGTTGAACTGGGCAGCTTCCAGATCTGTGTAAAACTATGTGAGTGAGAAGAAAGGCATTGGGGGAAAAAGGTCATTTGTCCTTAAAAAATACATATTTCAAACATAAATTAAGTTTTAGAAAATACAATACCTGCTGTGATGCACCGATATATAAAAATACAGTATGTTATAACAATAAGACAAAGCAAAACAATGTTCCATGGGACAATGTAAGATTTGGTGTTCGTACAGGTAAAGCCCCCACCACCACCACCCCCCACCCCCTTACTGCCAAACTCTGAACTTGTGCAACTCAAACAGAACATTGTCACCTCCTACATTACCTTGTTCATGATGCTGAGGACAATGGAGTACACAAAGCCAATTCCAGCCACAGCCACCAGACACAACAGGAAGAGGTAGGCATCACGGTACAGCTTGAAGTCGGTGGGTTTGGGGTACAGAATGGAGCGCACCAGCTGGCCTTTGGCTGTGCTGAAACCTGAGTGAAGAAAGGGACAAATCTTTCAAAAGTTGACCCTGTTTCCAGAAAAGGAAATCATGTCTCTGAACTGTGATGTCCACAGATTAACCTGTGACAGACATTTTCTAAGAATGGCTCAAATGTGGATTTAACACATATTTAGTGGAACAAAGATTATACTGGTGGCCTGAATGAAAGGGATATTACTGACCTCCGAAATGCTGCATTGCTCTTGTAATGAGCAGCAGTAGTGCTTGAGAGGTACAGTATGAGTCTTCAGACTATTGTTAATCTGCAGCTAACTATTGTATTTCAGTAAACTTCATGGAGTACAGCTCACACTACACACACATACCTGTGCGGACCACCACAGCCTTGACTAGTTCGCCTGTGTAGAAGCGGGTCTGGATGACATTGGTGCCACAGAAAAGTGTGTGTCTCTTATGGTCCTCTGTGTTGTAGGCACTGTCAGCCTCCTCCCCCCTCTCCCCTGGCAATGGGTTTGGGAGATTGGTCTTTGTCACAGGAACACTTTCACCTGATGGAGAGGAGGCCGATATTAATACTGGATTCTGGTAGGTGTAGTAAGAAAGCACTTTGAGTTTTGGGGTCTCCTGTGGCTGGTTGATAAGTTTATTTACAAATAGATCCAATATTGCCTTTGCTTTCCAAAATTTACTTGAATTTTCAGGTTTCTCCTCTAACCTGTGAGCATGCTTTCATTGACGATGCAGGTGCCACTGACCAACACAGCGTCACATGGCATGATGGTCCCGTTGCTGGGAATGACCATCACATCACCAGGCACCAGATCAGTGGACAAAATTTCTTCAATATCTGAGGGTACAATGGAGGAGTGGAGAAGATAAATGTGGAAAATAAATTAGAAGAAACAAAATAAGGGGTGTGGATAAAGGTGAAAAGTGTGTAAATAAGCCAACAGTGGCAGATGGTGGATTTGCGGGATGGGGGTGGGGGTGGGGATGAGAAAGGAGATATTTTGTGTGTGAGAGCCCCCGAGTCTTGTTCAGCACATATCTCATTACTCACGCCCATCTAGGCAGCAGGGAGAAAAGCTGAGGCATCACAAGCAGGGACCAGCGCAATAAATGGATGCATAAACAAAAGTAAGTGGTGTACAAACCTCCACAGCAAGGTTTCTGATTGATCCTAATCATAAAAGTAATTTTTTCTCCTTTGCTCAATGGATGGAATTAACTTTTAATTGGCCACAGCTGATAAGGCATGCTTATGCATCACCTCTGCAGACACTTGTATGTAGCCATACAAAAGTTTGTGCATCCATTTAAAAGTGCTTTTAAATGTACATGCTACACCCTCCCTCTCTCTCTCTCTCTCTCTCTCTCTCCCTCCCTCTCTCCACCTCCCCCCAAGCCTGCAGTGTCCCACCCAAGCAGCCATCTGGAGGACAGCCAAAGCAGGGTGACTGTGTAATTGAGTCTGGCCCAGCACAGAAGAAGAAAAATGTCTACTGTCAGGTTTGGTTTGGAAAGCACCATTCAGACAAGCTGGAAACTGAATAGAATAATACATGCTGTGAGCTACTATTGAAATTACTCTACATAGGCAGTCTGCAGAAAGAGAGACACAAAAACTAAAAAAATTGACAAACCATTGTTGGCTCGGCATACAGACACACGGACAATACTGTGAGCTGCCACCATATCGTGAAGCATGACGTATTGCTGGAGGAAAAAAACAAACAAAGAAAACAGTGATGAAAAACCTGAGCGGTTCTTGATTCTCATGACCACCTGTGAAACCGCAAGGGTGAATTCATCTGAGTTTGTGTGCTATGAAGCCAGGGGCACTAGACCATGTGCAGATGAGCCTTTATGCTAGCTTGAAAACCCTGGATTAGACATGAGTGGGGCAGCGAGTGTGTCTCACATAGCCTAGCCCTGGTCTCGCTCTAGTGCTGTAACATTACAAATTTTATTGCACCAGAGGAGTTCAGTCAGTGGAAAGTTACAGCAGTGTAATATGTATGTAATATGTAATTTAATATGCATTCGCATCTGTCTGTTTGGTACTTGATGTACTGTGTCGTATAGCAAAGTCACACTGTCATGGAAGCCAAGATAAAGATAAAACAAAGCATTGAGATAAACTGATGTCATGTTCATGTGATATAAGACACATGACATGTAAGACGCATATCGTCTGGTAAAATAATATCACTCACCACATGCTGTCTTTTATAGGCTGTTTTACTGACATTTAGATTATGAAACCTCTTGTGTATGGAGCTGACATGTTGGCCTATTGGTAGTAAAGGAAAGATCAGAGGGTCACCAAAAATATTGGACTTATATTGGACTCTCAAGACCTTCTGATGCCATAAAACTGCCTTAATATGTGAATAAAATCTGAAAAAAAAAAAAACATATCAGAAAATCTAAATTGCTACTGCAGTCAACATAACCCAGCCACAAATTGTGAAATATGAGGAGCTTATTGCTGAACTCTAAGCCTGTGTGTGAACATGTGGAATGGCACATGGATCAAATTACCACTTTCAATTCACTTTAACCCGGTCCTGCCATATACAGTATATGCAGTATAATAAATAGCTCTGGATTAATAGAGTCTTGGCAATTTGTGGAGCTCACCTTTTTGATGGTGTACAGAGAGGTAGCTATGGATATGACCGACATGAAAACAATGGCCACAGCATAGTAGTAATACTCATCGGCACTCCACAGGATCACACTGAAGAGCTGGAAGATGTAGAAAGGGTTGAGGACCTGCGGGAGGAGGCAGAGGGAGAAGTCAGTGTGGCAAATACAGGGGTGAGAGCATGTAGATAAAACTACAATGGAGTTTAAAACAGAGATGATCACTTGAGGACATAACTAAGATGCTATCAGGGCAGTGATGAGAAAACAACTACAAATGATCAAGTTCCCATATGTTTGCACAATTCCCACTTAAGATTCATACTTATTTATTTAGCTTGAGATATATTGGCATTACATTTTGTACACATGCTTTAACAGTGTTTAAGGTGAAATAATATTATAAATACATGTCCACTGGGTAATATTAACCGGTTTGTTGAATATGAGTTGCAACCCAAATTACTGTGTTGGTCTGAAGGGGCATTAGTGTAGCATTTACTCTCATACAGCTCTCCTATTGTAGAAATATAGTAAGTAGATATCCCAAATACTTTCCTTTAAGAAGTATGCTGGGAAAGTCTCTATATCTGCTAGCTGGGGAATGAGTCAAAGACGAATCAAATTGAAGATTTAAGAGAAACTTGGTATAAAAGAGTAATAATAAGGACAAAGTCTCAGTACAGAATACAGAGGACCAGAGATTCCCTTAAACAGATTAAACAGATGAGTAGCTGTTTGCAGATTAAGCAGATGAGAAGCCATTTTCCCTGCTAATACAGGTCCTGTTAGCAGTTCAACTGACTAAATACCAATGCAGAAATAACAATAGGCAAATGTTTATCTGAATATCCTAAGGCATTTCTACAGTGCAAAATGTTGGTTTTACATGTTTGCTTTTGCAGAAACAGAAAAAAAGACTGTAAGTATGTAAATGTCCTGACACCCACTAGACACACTGCTAGCAATCCCTGAAGGAGAAAAATCCCAAACTGAAATATTCAACACAGGTTTTTGGCCAACAGTCAAAAACCCAAAGATATTAAGTTAACTATCATAGAAGTCTAAAAATAAAACTAGCAAAAAATTGTCGCGATAATTGACTAGTCATTTCTACTGCTCTACCTGGAAGTACATAAGAAACATGCAAAAGTGACAACACATTACAATTATACTTATATCACATATAATATTTAGCATAAAAACCCATTCATTGTGTCAATATCCATGTAAAAAATCTATGAGTTGAGCACACAATTTGACAAGGTGTTTTTCGGCAAAGGAAAATTCCATCTCTGGGTTAAAGAAAATGCTGCAAATATTAATGTAATTGGGCCCTACCTCTTTGATAAGCAGCTTGAAAACAGAAGGCACTTTCACTGCAATTTCATTCACTCCGAAGAACAGTCTCCTGACAAGTGATGAAAGAGACATTCATGAGGCAAGTGGTGTAAATAGGACTGTCATATCTAAACATACATGCACAGAGTATACAGCAAAGATACATAACAATGTACCATTAAAGGCTAAGAGTATGCAGGTTTTCATTCTTAACAATACTACCAAATGATTTCACTGATCAATTTCTCCACTTTTGTTGAAGCGCTTTAATTAGTGAAATCGTCTGTACTGTCTACATTGTCATTTCAACATGTCCGCACTGACTTCCCCTGGCCACTTATGAGCAATCCCTGCATCGACATCTGGCCTTACGAAATCAAAGAAAATGTGAAAAGTTTTGTCAAGGCAGTGGTCTTATTATCTGCAGCTACTGTAACTCATACAAGAGAATAATCTGACTACCAGGCCTGAGTACCCTCCTCCTGTTTGTCTGCCTAAAGTTGATAAGATAGAAAAGATGTTACCTGTACTCCTGCTGGTTCCTGGTCAGGCCTGCACTGTGCTCCGAGTGGAGGGTGGAGCAGCTGATCTGCAGATCCTCCAGGCCACTGTAGGTGGAATGTAGGTCAGAGAGAGAGAGACAAAGTTGACACTTAATTACAATTAAAAGTGCCAGCATTTCAAGTCTAACTGTTACTACAGCTGGTAATCCAGGTGCTCGTTTTGCTTATTTTGTCTTCCTATCAATTTATCTTTTGTTATCATTGCTGTTGTGTAATACCGTACACACACTGACAGATAAAACCCTGATCCGATTTAGCTTGCTCTAAGGGAAGAGATTTTTGCAGCGATAGTGTCTGAAAACTGGTATAAACATAGTCAATAAAATTTCTGTAGATAATCAAAGAATGCTTACCATAAAACTTCAAAATTCTGCACCTCGTCATTCCAATAATACTTTGTGCTATGAAAGGTAAAATAGCGAATCTGAGGGAAACAAAAGTGAGAGGGGCAGAAGGAAGAGAGAACGACTTTTAATATGTTTAAAAAAAATTGTGATTTGATTTGGAAACCAAACAGTGATCGATACTGTAAATACAGTATATTGTTGAGATGGGTGCCTACCTGTGTGGGCTGGTAGTCGGCAAATCTTCTGATGAGCTCCTGAGCGGGGCTGCCATCGGAGGGGTGAGGGGTGTGTCCGTTGGCCAGAGGGGGGGAGGCAGGGGAGGAGAAGGGGCAAGAAGGAGAAGAAGGGGAGCAGGGGGAGGTGGTCTGGGTCTCCAGGCTGTGGAAGGGGTTGCTCCCTGGGGCCAGCATCACTCGCACCCTGGCCAGGAACCAGCGCCGGAACTCATCCTAAAAACATGTATAAAATTAGAATGCTGAACTTTTGGGGACCATTATTTGTAATAATACATCATAACACCCCTTCATTACTAACTAACCAACCTTAACACTTTAGGGGAACACGCTTTTTTAAAAACCTTTATGTCATTATGTAATTTTTATGTTATAATCTCTTTATAATGTTAAAGGTTGTGTTGTATCAATGGGCAAAGGTATAAAAATGTTTTCATGATATTTCTATCTTAAAATACTATAGGGAAAAGTTCAAATTTTTAAGCAGTTGCTCTATCGTTGTGATAGAGATTATGTGTGTTTCATCACAGGGTACAAGTGTGTAAAGATTTTGTGATGTTGGCTAACTAATACCTGCAATGAGCTACATTTACTGATTTCTGAACTCTGACAGGTTTCACACTTTGAGCTGATCTTGACAGAAAGAAAAAGAAACCTCCATACTGTTGTTGGCTACAGTCAGGCAGTTTTTTTTTCTGACTGCAAACACCTCTGTACTTGGCCCGTACAAGATCTAAATTCCTGGCTCACTCCTGTACTGTATCTCGAGGCAGATAGACGTGCCTGATGTTTGTTCAACTGGCACACATCAACTGATGCACTCTGTGCCACTTTTTTCTTTCGTTGGAAAAAAAGTTATTATTAACGTTGTTATTGTTCCACCAAAAATTTCAACAGCACAGTTAAAACAGCAATGTATACACCTTAAAAATGCAGCTGTATTTGGTGTTTGACAGGTGTTATTTTCAGACCCTGCCTTACCCTGTCTAATCCTCACTAACCTTAACCCAAAACCATCTCTCTCTCATCTCAAGCCTCTTTAAGAAGTGAACAAAAGTGAGCAAAATGTTTACACTGAAATAGGTTCCTAATGCTTCAACTCTCAGGAGGGCATCTAAAATTCAGTCAACACATACAATCTGACACAGATTCATACACACACGGTCAAGGATGAATATACATACATGCACCCAAGCATGGGACCAACACAGAGAGAAAGGAATGCAGACACTTAAATGGCAAGTCATCAGTGTATTCCTGCTGGTGTGACTGTAGTGGGTTGGGAGAAAAGCTACAGGTTTGGTTTTATCTAAACAAATACCCCCCCATTTTTCATACAGTCTTTCAATGGAAGTAATACACCTTGAAGTCAGTAGATGCTGCTCTGGTGCTGTTGTGGATCCACTAGATTGATTGTAGCTACAGGCTCAGCACATACGCAGCTCAGAAATAAATGAGCATTGGCCTGGGCAAGATGGTAACTTTGGTCCTCTCTGGTATTACAAAACTCACTTTTCTACTCTTAAACTGGTTCTACAACTAATGTAAATTCAGTGTTAGTTGTTTTGTATTGTTAAGATAGTTGTGAGATGTGTGATATGTACAGCTAGTTTGTTTCGTAGTAGATTGTCTCAGCATGCATCATCATGGTGACAGAAGCTGTTTACAGGACGTGTAGGAATTAGCGCAACTGAATGAGTTACTCTGAACCATAATTGTCATCATCTATTACTGTTATTATTATTATGATTATTATTATATTTTTATAATTATTATTCTTTATTTTGGTACCATTAGTATTTTCAGTAGACCAATTTTTTGTTGAACTGAACGCATGTTAAATTAAATTATTTAGGTCATGTGCACTTATTTTCTTTTTTAGGAAGAATGTTTAATGTTATTTAATGTAGTTTTGGTTACAAAATTATTTATTTAATTTGCGGAATATTGTTGTTTTAATATCATTTTGCAGAATGTGGATGTAGTGTAAGATGGTCCTCTCTCTATCAAACCACAATGTATATATTGGCTACACAGTGCTACCCAGCCTGTGTGATACTTACTGCCGGTCCAGATTTCCCTTAGGTCTGGTGCCGGTAACATGACTGTCTCAATGTATTTACAGTGCTGCAACAATACATCAGTTGTATTCACTCACAGCTTTAAAAGCACATGAGCTTGAGGTTTATATCTTCTGCATATAGCCATATGCCAAGTTGTGCCTGACAGCATTTGGACCCGACTCTCCTGCAGTTAACCGATTTAGAAAGAAAGAATCACAGGACCGTTTTTTTTTTTTTTTTTTAACCAACAAACTTTGAGGATCTGTGTCAAGTGGACATTATGTCTTTTCATTTGATTTTTTAAATGTAAAATTAACATAAAAATTTTAATTATGCATGGTAGATGTCAGATCGTGTACTATAAGGACTACAGAAATTAGCCTGCAAATTGAATTACATAATATAATGCAACTGAAAGTGCAAATTCAAATATAAATGTAAATATAAAACCTCACACCTTAGATTTGCTGCATATAATAATTATTTTCATTATTTATTCATTTTTACTTGATTAATTGCTTAGACTACAAAATGTAAAAAATTGTGCAGAAAATTCCACGTTTTGGAGCCCATAGCGATGTCTTAAATTTGCTTGTTTTGTCCGACATTTGAGAAGCTGAAACCAGAAAATACGTGGCATTTTAACTGAAATGATTAATTGATTATCCAATTAGTTGCAGGTTAAATTTCTGCCAATCATTGCAGTTCTATTTGCTACCTACCGTGGAGCGCATCAACACCACTTCAGCATCACGGGCTGTGGTACGAGTGCAGGTGGATTTGACGCACCACTCTGGCATCCAGTAGAGCACCAGGAGGAGGAAGCCCCCTGTACACAGCACCCCGAGGCCCACCAGGGCCAGCCGCCAACGACATAGACGGTAGCCCTGCAGCTCCTAGACGGTGTAGGAAGAAAACATAATGCAGTTTGATAAGAAACCAATAATTCCCACTTTCCACCTATGTAAAATAAAAAGGGAGCGTACCATCTCCTCCTCTTCCCCCTTGTTGAGGACCTTGAGGTCTTCCTTCTCCATGCTGCAGAACAGTTTGCCAAGCCCCTTCCTTAGTCACTGCAAACACAACAGACAAAATGTCAGGTGAACGGTGTGGGAAATCATTTCAGCTCCAAAACAGCCTATCAAACCGTGGCTCAACACCAGAGGGTCAAACACCCCAGGCAGGGTCACAAGATACTTATAGTAAGTATATTCTGCAAAAGAGTAGTGTGTGGAAAATGAAGTGTGTCATCAAGTCATTCAATCACACTTTTGTAAGCTTCCTCCATTACATAATGATGTAAAAACAGGTTGAGAAGGGAAAAACCCAAATCATCATTCACTATCATTATTTCCTGCATTTCTGTAGTTACAAAATCATGCAGTAACTCCATATCACTTCATAGCTGGGGTTTATAGACTGAAAAGGATTGCGACTGTGCAGCCAGTTACCATTTAATCTGGTATCAAAATCTAGTGGCACAGTGGTGGTGCAGTTTGCAATTTGGGTGGCACTGGTCACCCTTCAAATCTGATTAACCAGCCTTGGTCCCACTCAAACACATCATTCACTGTTTAACACTGAGATTGTGCACTCATGCATTATTTCAAACAAACAAAGCACTTTCTCTGAAATAGGAGCAGAGTGCTCAGGGCGTGTTATGGTATCCAAACAACATGGACGGATTTGATGATACAGTGGCATTGTGATTCACTGTATTTTCAGTACAGCAAATTTGAAGACTGTTTTAAGTTTTGCCTCATCCATTTAGAGTGGTTTGTCAGCAGCATACAGTGTATAAGAATATAATACATACAATAACAGACAGATGTGGTGATGAATCCAATAGTGCTGAGACAATGTCCTTTAAGAGGGAATAAGTGGTTCCCACATTCCTCCTGTCTAAAGTTTCTGTAAAGACACAAACCCTCTATCTACTTCTGCTGTTGATAAGACCATTGGCTAAATCACTGAAATGCTACTTTCCATCAATCTTTGAACAGTTAATATAAGGCAGTAGGTATGCATTGCAATGCAATTCACCAATCACTCTCCACGCAGAAAATGTTCAAGGACTATGAGACAAGTACATGCACTGCAAAATGTTCGATAGCACATGGACTTCAATGTAGGGACAGCGTGACGGGTCATCATTATGTTTTTCTAAACTCTGGTGAAGTCTCTTGAACCCAGTGTGAACTCTTTAACTTTGTGTGGGAAAAGAGCATTAACGAAGGAAGACATAACTGTCTGTGGGTGCAATGTACAGGAAAGTTATCAGAGGTCCATAGTTCATTAGAGCACATGAATATACTCCAACTATAAGAATGTGCAACTCTTCACAGACAGCTGCTTGACCTCAGAACACCTGAGATTATCTCTTAAGAGTGTCAACACACCCACACACAGACCAACTGAGTCATCAGATGTGTGTTACCAAATATCAAGCTCGTCCCTCTTTCCTCCTCTCAGTTGTCCCAGAGGACTAGCCAGCTGCCAAGGAAGGCACACTTTGTGTGAGTGTGTATCTGAATTCTGCATTGATATTGACAAAGGGGCATCTGGGTCAAAAAGAACAGGCCCTTAGAAATGTTAGTTCAGCTGCAGACAATCTGTCTATAAGGCTAAAAGCAATACCAAGCTCCAGCAGGTTACTTTTCCACTTTGTGGCTTATGTACTGCATTGAGTTACAGAGAAAAACAGTGAAGCTGACCGTGTGTGAACAGTCAAACTGTGAGTGGGCATTAAAAAAAGAAGCTAATTAGGCTACTGGCTTCAAGGACAGGAGCTGGTAATCCATTGGTCAATCAGGTGCACTCAGGATTTTGCTGGGGTTTCTCGGGGAACTGGTGACATTCCCATCATGCCCTGCTAAGATGCCAACCGGCCAAAACATTGGTGGAGAAGCGTTAGCCTGTAAATTTCTACATGTCTTTTGTAGCACAAGACATGTAGAAAGTAACAAATTACAGGTGGAAATCAATGCCTGGTTTCTTTGTTTACATGTTGGAATTGATTGGAATTCTGGAGATTACTGGAGAACTGATCAGTGTCATCTACACTGTCCACAACACTTACACCAAAGAAAAGCATGTCATAACTAAGAGAGCCAGTTTTAGGTGAAAAAGAATAAGACTGGCAGAAAGATGGAGGGTAGGTGGAAGAAGAGACATACTAACAGACTTCAGGCTTTCCCATAAAAAACGCATAGCTTGTACAAGGTAGTATCCACACCAAAATGCATTACATTAAGCAATTATTTGTAAATAGTCAAAATACTTCATACAAGTCATTCAATGACACATTCATTCAACTACAACTTGCAAAGATTAATTCAAAATGGAATATACAAACAAAACAATACAAACTTTCTAACCTGAATATACATTCTGTTGCATATTCCCTTTAGACTAATTACAGCCACACACTCTCTTTTTGCTAGAATGCTATGCTATTTACATGTTAGAATACGTTGGGGTCAAAGCTGACTGAAGTTAAATTTTGGCCACAAATTCAAGGCAGTGAGTTTCGCTTTCCCTCTTTATGCAGTGCTGTGACTGTCTTTGGTATGAAAGCCCACTTAAGCAGAATGTGATTCAGAGATATGTATGACAGAGCATGCTCTTACATAGATACATAAAGAGGGGTATAAAAAAGAGAGAGTCCACACACACACACACACACACACACACACACACACACACACACACACACACACACACACACACACACACACAATTGCAAAAAAAAAAAACTACATTAAGTGACACAAACACAGGGAGAGTTAGAGCACTCTCACCCCAGATATCACAGAGGAGTGCTAGCATGCTGTGACAGGACACTGTGCCCATTGGACTACCCTGCTACTGCCCCCACCACCCTAAAAACACCCACTGATCCTGTATAACTGCCCCCACACACTGATCTTATCTGCCAGCAGCACCCGGCTGGACTTTTTCTCTGGCATACAGCGGGATATTTTGCTTAGGACCAAGCCCTTCCTAGTATTTTACAATAGCAGCCCCCTGACCGGTGCTATGCAGTGGGTGCAGTGAAACAAGAACATTCCCTCCCCAATCTCTGCAATGACTGGAAATGCCGACAACAGGGCATCATGGATACACTCTTTCACAAAATAGCTGCTGGTATGGTGACTCAGACATAACACACCAATAAAAAACAGCCCCCAAAAATTATTGAAAAGTATCAGCTTTATGTGGTTTTTCAAACCAGAGATTGTTACACAGTCTGTTGTGTTGGAATCATCTGCTCAGGTAACAGCAGGTTGCAACCTCAGAAAACATAAAGGCATCCATAATTACAGGCTCCAAACAGACAACCAGCCAAAGTTAAAGGTTTGTGGCTGACAAGCCAGACATGTTAACCCTGTTTATGGCTCAAGTACCAATATGTTACATGTTAACTGGGGTTGGAGACAAATTAAGTTATACTTTCGTTCGGACAAACTTGTACAAGATGGGGCACTGTCACAAAATCATTGTGTATTAAGAAATATTAAGAAACAATGTTAAGATAGAATATATCATAGTGAGAATAAAAGAAAGAACTGATCACTTGATGCTGTTATTGGCTAAAATGGTAAGAAAACTGTGTCTTAGTGTAGAGAGTAAGATAATATACAGTATATTGGAACTGGGTAAAAAATTAACACAAACTGCCATTCAAACATTATTTTGCTTTACAATCAATAACATAACAAAATAATACAGGGTCCCCAATCAATCCAAATAATTAGCACAGCTTTGTCAATGTATATCATCAAACAACTAAACAGATCTAGGGTAATCGTTTGTCCCCTAAATAAAACGAGTTTGTTAGGTTCTGTCAGTATATTTGCAGTGCAGTCAGCTCAAGGGGATTTACAGAGTGTGGTGAAGGTAATCTTGCTACATAGGACATGAAAATGACCAAATCACTTCTGGGAAAAAACATAACTAGCTTACGCTCAATCAGAGCCCAAAGCAGTGACTTAGACATTGGAGAAGCTTCTGGGTAATTTCATGGGTGTCCCACTGGGTTACAGTGAATTTGTTGCGCATTCATTTGTCAAAAATCTGTGCAATTTAGTCAGTAAGAAACACTCGCTGTTCTTCTTCTCCTAGGCTGCATCTCCTCAACAGTCCAGCAACATAAAAGAGATAAAAGTTTCTAGTTACCTTGAGAGCCAGGGACACGATGCCCCAGGCGGTCCTCCTCCCCGTAGTTAGCTTGCTCTCTCACCACACCAACCTGGAACCCTGGGGAAAAACAAGCAATTACAAACAGTGGACATCACAAAACTTCCCACAAGGGTCTTTCAGCTATGTACACAAAATTAACTTAATGAAGTGCAGGTTAACAATAATAGTTAATGAGCTGCAGCAGAAGAAATTTTCAAACCAACCAGGTAATGTAAAACATGACAAGGTGTTCACTGATATACATTTCTATAGAGTATATTCATCATTTCCATCAGTCATTCAACAAGATAATGGAAATACACTTTAGACTTATCTCTGAAAGACTACAAACTGATGAAAATGAGTTTAATTTCATTGGCCACAGGCAACCACATTTGGACCACTGTCAATCATTTTATTTGGTCTGGTTGTCCCTGCTAACAACAACATTGTGGAATTTTTTGAAAATTGAGGTATTAGAAATGAGTGCAGCGTCTGAAGTGAACAAGTCCATAAATAAATTGTCAGCATCATGGAATATCCCACAACAGTGTAGAAATACTGAGACCATGTCCACTCTGCTAATTTTAGGACAGAATTTCATGGACGACATCACGCTAGAGGTTAAATACCATCATCTAAAATTCAGATTTACATCTTCCTGTTCCCACCAGCTTATGTGGACTTCTGTGGCCGCTAATCCTGTCCTTTGCTGACCCTGTTCATTTTACGCTCCATTCCCAGTTATTATTTCCCCCAGTGACAAAAGAACCTAGGTACTGTAGGTATCAACAACATGATAAACAATGCCTTGAGCAAATAAATCATGACTTCATGCTGAAATGGCAGCAGCTGAAATAACATCAGGTGATTCCTCCTGATTCCTCTCTACTAACAAGGCATGGTGTTCCCATCCCATACAAATGCTAATGATATAATGTAATAAATCTTCCCTGTTTTCCCACCAGAAACAGTAACGAAAAAAAACAACAGATAAATTATCTCTTCCGTTGTGAATAGGGAGGATAACAGGAGAAACCAGTGTTCTTACTGGAATATAGAGGACCATGTTTGGGGCCTCTAGGAGTCAGCATGACTTCAGAGATATTAATAGATTCCTCGAGCCCAGCCTAAAGCCACATTGTTGTCTCGCATTTGATTAGTCTGCTATTGTATTAATAAGCAATGCTGGCTTGGAAGAAAAAAAACAAAAAAACAATGTCATGTTTCAAACAAGTTGAACATGACAATCATCAGTGTTCCTGGAAAGAAATTGTAACATGTCAGAAAATAATCAACCAAGTATATATGTATCAAAACACAACACAGGTAGAACACATGACTAACTCTTTGAGTCCAAAAGCAGATCTGGTTCTGTGATCAACCACAGCCAAAATATTATGAGATAATTATCTAAAGACACAGTTTATTTGTAATTTATTTGACTGTGCAATGAGTTCTCTGTTTCTCCAATTTATCAACTGTTTTCAACTAACTATCAGCAATACATTCAGTCACATTAGCAAAGAAAAACACCAAATGCTCACATTTGACGAGTTGTATCAAAAAATGTTTGGCAATGTTGCTTGAAAAACAATTAATATCGGCTATCTGCAATTTCACAGGATGACGATAGGACGATCGGACTATGGTTAAGATTGCGTAACCCTAATACACGAGCAAAGCAAAAGTATACAAATAAATAACTCAAGACAATAGCCAAGAGTAGACACATACTCCTTTCCCTTTCTGCCCTATTCTTCAACACACAGACAAAAAGGAAAAAGTGAACAATGAGCCATGACCTAATGACAGAAGCCTATAATTCATGGAAGCATTTGGAGGAAAAAGTGTTTTGTTGCTATCATGCTCTGCACTCAATGTGCTTTCTTTATCACTTCCCCTCCTACTCATGGGGTATTATAGCCAAGCAAGGGCCAATCAAGCTGTTTATCACTGCAGCCACTGGCCTTACTTAAAAAAAAAAAAATGTATGACCACCTGCCTTCCTCTGCTGTCTGAACTAAAAACTCTTCCTCAGTCAGCTCTAAGAGCCCATCACCACTGACAACATGATTAACTGAGCAATTCTCTTTTAACAACTTGACTAAGGAGAAATCAAGAGTTTCATTCTTCCCAAACTTCAAACCCAGTTAAAGCTGAATCACCTACTCAACTCACCTATCGATCCTCAAAGACATTATCCAAACATTGGCCTCATATATCATAGATACTCATACTGTATGTTTTCAGATGACATACATGGGCTTTAGATCACAACAAGTGAGAAGAACTGTTGGCATTACAGCCAACTACGATCCATGTAAGGGGAAAGGAAAGTTAACATGGATGAGATCAGGGAGTGGAAGAGGACAAAGAGAGCTCTACAGGGACTGTATGTGGACTCCACTACTGTCAAGTACCCATAAGAAGAAAAGTGGAGGGAAAGGGCTGGGAAAAAAATAATCCTGCAGATCAAAAGTGTGCAAAGTTTTAAGTCACACCACATGCTCTTGGATTAACAGTGGCGTTGCTTGACAGACTATGAAAAACTGCTGATACCACTGTGCAAGAGATTAAAACACTTCTTAGAGCAGCTTATTGGTACATAATGAACCTGGATGTAATATTTCTACATGAATGTAACAGGCTATTGAATTACTCAACATTTCTATATTTTGTAGGGAAATTTTGTTCAATTAGGGGAAAATATCAGGCAGAACCCTTTTAATTATTTGACTAGTGAAATAATTTCAGCATCAGCACCACAAAACTAATAACCATTTCTCTGGGTGATCCGTCCAGAGTGTCTGTAATGTACAAACTGACTTTAAGAGGGATTCAGGTAGAACAAACAACAAAGATTGGATACGTTAAGTGTTGTTAACGAAACACAGGCAATGAATTTATACTTTAATACTACACACTACTAACAAAGACTGACACAAAACAATAACAACTAACTACATACACAGGAACGCTACAGTGAAAGAAAAGATGAATTGATGGGGGAAATATGTAACAGGTGAATAAACCAATATATGCAGTCTCTACTGGAATGAAGCTGGTAAAATCTGTGGTAAATTTAGAATCATGTTTGGATAGAGAAACCAGTTAAAGCCAGTTAATTTCTGAATTTACCATTAGCAGAAAATAAAGTATATGCTACTTGTGTTTCTGTGCAACCGCTGATTCAGCACAGCAGCATCTGCTGTGAGGGAGAAGACAACTTCATCAGAAGAAGATTCTGATGAAGTTGAGATCAGCGGAGCAATGTGGAGACAGAATGGGGCACCTATAGCATTCCAGCAATGCTCTTTTATAGAGAGTTTTAGGCAAGAGGTTCAGAAAGATGCCTAGACAATCTGTGGGTCGCTCGAATTGTCAGGCTTACACTCCCTCCAGGTGGCATGTGTCCAGTAGAGGCCATATGCCACACATTTAACTTTTTCAGACAAGTTCTTAAATAACTGTATTTTGTTATTAAATAATTACAGTAAATAAAAACCTGGCATCCTGATGCTGAGGGGATTTTAACAAGACCAAACACAGAAATTTATCTCTAATGGTTATGGAAATACTAATATACGAGTTTCATCAACATATAGCTTGCAGAGTTAACTGTAAATGATCACAAACCTATCAATAGGAGTAAGAATACAGATACACACATTTAAACATTAAGAACAGACAAATGACAAATTCAGCACGTTCTGGCATTTTAGGATTACATATTCTCTTGTCTATAGAAGAGTAGATGAGAGGGGCAGTGAGAAGAACTGGGGGCTTCAGGATATCTGCAGAAAAGTGTCTTAGGGTGGCTGTGAGTGCACATGTGCTAGGGTACATATGACCTTCCTTGATTATGTCTATCAAACAGTGATATGGGCCTGGTCTGCTGATTTCATCCCAATTTGGAAAATATCAAATTCTTCTGTATATAGCGTTAGAAGTTAAACAACAGTCATGGCAGGGCAGCAACCACCCTGCTGCCAAGTAGGCCTGTGGAATGTCCAATGTGGCTCTCCGTAGCCATTATCAGTTGTTTCTTTTGTCTTATCATCTGCTTTTTTCAAGAAGCTTTGATTTGTGTTTAAATGTAAACACCGGTCCAGGTTTGCTGTTCTGGACAGAGCAGCAAATGTCTTCACCACTAATTTACTGCTGTGAGAACAGAGCAAAACCAAAGTCTTAAAGCTGGGGTGAATATCTGGGGGTTGCCTGGAATGCATCACACTTCAGATGCATTTGTCTTGCGTTCTATTCAGATATTTTCCATAGTTTCATGAGCCAAAATTGTAAATGTCATATAATGTCTCTGTGGTAGGTTACACCAAGATGAATAATACATGATGTAAATCAGCTGAAATATATTAATCTTACAATTCCAATTTGAGAAATAAGTGAAGGAAATAAATATAACTCCAGTGTCTTCATGGTGCAATCTCAATCAAACACGCCCCTGAGAAAATTTATGTTCCCATCTAGCCCCAGCCAGACCTGAGGATACAGTCCAACAGGGAGTATTTTTGGGCTGCAAGTGCCTGGTGAATGTTACAGTGATATCACGCTAGAAGCTAATAGAGCAAATGGAAGTCTTACAACTCTTTTGCCCTCTCAAAAATGCACTTTTGAGTTTTTTTTCTGATGCACCTGCTTTTCATATGTCCACAGAGCATAAGAGTCGCATTTTCAGCAGCTGCCTCTTGCTACACAGCATCTCATCCAGTTTAGAACCAGAGTGCAACTCAGGATGCAACAAGTGTGAGGCTATATCACTGTCATAATGCCAGATGATTAGTGCTGTCAACAGCTACTGAGCTGTGGTCATCTGTTTCACAGATTTACCAGGTATGTGAGAAGGGATGTAAAAATGGCTGCTTTATAGCATTTAATTACTTGAGCTGCTCCATTATCATCATCATCAGCAGGAGCATTTTAAGGAGGAGTCTATCCAGAGCCCTAACCACATCTTTCTGTCACAGACTGCCTCCAACAGCAATTTAACTTGTTGAATTGCCCGAACAGCTGCTGATAAGAGAGATGGAGCCAACAGTGTGGGACACACCACAAAAAATACTAATTGTGATCTGCCATACATGTCCCAACAGCACCTGAAAACCAAAACTCAGCATTCTTAGGTTGTAACAGTGATGGAGTCAAGGCGTTCTTGCCGAAGGACCCCAGATTACATTTGTATGTATGAGATTAAAACCAAACTAGACTATAAAAGGCGTTAAAAGTAAAATCTTAAAATCAATTGTGAAATGAGGAAGTACTTGATTTGCTAGATAGTCCTGATCTAATACTATCATCCATAATCAGAATGGGAATTTCGATCAGCGATGAACTGAGTCCCTTCGCAATGCACACTGTATTCATTTAATTGCACAACTCTGCTCTCAGGTTAACATTACTGTGTCAAATTTCACAGTTGTTTCTATTTTCATTGAAAGTGTTCTCGCTTCCACTGATGCCGGCCGCTGGCTTGTCCTGGTCTTGTTGGAGGCAAACCGCTATACCGGCACTAGAAAGATCTGTTTCTCTATCGTGCTGCACTCAGGCTCCAACACCAAATAGTGCCGGGCTGCGGAGAGGACTTTTACCATGTCAGGATATTTCTCATCTCTACTCTGAATCAACACTGGCAGGCCTTCCATCACAGTCTGCTGTTTTAAAACTCACCTGTGAAAAGTCTTAAGGTACTGGCTCAAAAGCCCATGGAATATTGGCGCCTCACTTCTTAAACTGAGACTAAACCGCTTCCAAATCTCCAGTTTGGACAAGACCTCAGGCTCTCTCTCAGAGAAGAAGGAATTCAAAGGTGAGAAGGGCAAGTACAATTAGTCAATTCCTTCATTCCAAGAATCTGTACACAGATGTGTAACATGGATTAAGCGAGTTAAACTCATCTCTTAGATATACTCACATGATGCCAGAAAGTGCAAGATGTTTGAAGTATGAAGCACGACCAAAGCATAAATGCAAACAGTACTGTATATCTTTGCGACCTGGTCCTAGAACAGGCCATACTGCATGAAGTAACCACAAAAAAAGCACATGGACAAGATCTTGACTTAATTCCAGCAGAAGAAGAAAACACTCAAACTAGTAGCATATTTATCTCTCTCGCTGTACTGCCAAATGATTGAGGAAGTCTAACTACTGCAATGGAAAATGGTTAACCAAATACAAATCACATCAAGTTAAAAACAATGCTTCTATGTAAAAAAAATGAGTGGTTTCTACAAATGCATCATGGCTTAAAAAACATGGTTGCATCGCATGTCAATAACTTTTACTATACATACATCAGGTATCTCATATATATTTTTTCTTGTGTGCCTTGTGAAGCTTGATCCCAATAGGCACACACTGACTTTCACTGATCTAGTCTACACATACAGATACAAATATTTAAAACTATGAAGTGTGAACATTTTAAATAGTGAAGCTTTCAAAAGGACACGTCAGTTCAAATTTAAATTCAGTGGATGGTATACTTTTACGCAAACTCTGAAAACTGACTTGTTGACTTACCAAGTAGCCTTCTCACTGACTGCGGTGCATGCACAATTTGAATTTATCACAAATGTTGCTAAATCATGTTAAAGACAAAATTACTCCTATTTCTCCACTATCAATGATGAATATGTCAAGAATTAATTGGAGATATTTTGTTCAAGCAGTGGTTCAGTTCCTACTTTCATCTCACCTCTTAATCCTTCATAGTGTGGTCAAAAGCTGCACAGGTTATGTGTGAGAGTGGGAAGCTTTTCTTCTTATAAACTGAAGGAACGAAAACAAAACACTGTGTTGATATTATTCCTCTCAACTCAAAGGTCACATTCCCATTAAAGCTAGACAAACTAATTAGCGCCTAAGCCTCACTGTGGCACCACAGAAAACACATATAAACAGAAAAGGGAATAGACAATGAATACATATCTCCTGAGCTGCTGTGTGCAATTAGTATTTGTGCTACACAAACAAACTTGAACTTGATCAGGATATTTTTAAACTGATTGGTGCTGGCTATATAAAGCCTCCAATCCTTTTCTCATCCTTTGTTTACTGAAACCTTTTGTGGTCTGGGTATGCCAGCTATGCCGGGTCACAATAAAAAAAATAGCAGCCAGCAGTCTCAATTAACAATATCCACACTGACAGCATGCAACCACAAGCAATGCGGGCATAGCCACACCAGCTCAAGGCTCTTTACCATCTAAGTGACAATAAATCTTCATAAACCGATCTAAATTAACTACAGATATAATTCATAAGTATTCAATAAACATTCATTCCCTTTGCTGTAACAAACTTCAATCATGTCAACTGTTGCATAAGGTTGAAAGGACACTAATTAAGGTGTGACAAAGTCTACATAATCTGGCAAAATCTGTATCATTAGGACAAAACTATATTCCAAACAAATGTACAACAAGGCAGTGATGAACTACCAGTTATACAAAAAGGATATTCCAAGATACTAAATGTCAAAGCACAGTAAGGCCAAAGACAGCAAAGTGGAACGGCAAAATGGAATATGAACACCTATAAGACCCTTGTACATTCAGTGTCTGCTTAAGAAGGTCACTAATGAGGGAGTCCACCAAGAAGTCTAGGGCACCTCTGAAGGAGCTACGGGAAGGGGTCATTGTGAAGGATAAGAGACATTGTGCATATAAACCAACTGTTACTTGGGTGTTTCAGCATTATGGCAGATTCATTGTCTATAAGAAAACCGTAGTTGAAAATAACTTGCATGGCATCTTGACTGGTGTTTGCCAGAAGGCTTCTGGGAGACCCAGAAATAAAGTGTAGTGGTAAAGTTAGAGTCCAGACCTCAATCAAATTGAGAGGACTTGAAAATTACTGTTCACTCATGGTCCACATGCAATTTTAGAGAGCCTAAAGTGTCTTGCAAAGAACAAAAGGAGAAAGCGCTCAAATCCACTGCAAAACTGAGACCTCCACATAAGCCAAAAGGTGCCTTTACTAAATACTACCATGAATTAAATTGTGTTTTAAATGTATACTAAATTCAGACAATTAGGCCTCATGTTATGTTTAGTTGGTTCATTTCCTACTGTATGTTACTTAAGTTGTGAGAAGCCAAAACATGGTACATTTTCATTATTTACATGTCAAATATACCATTGCTGTGTGATGGAAAAATCCAATAAAGCCTCCCTTAGCCAATAGCTAAAAAGACTTTCAAGCTCGCTCTCTATGGAAAAACTAAAATTTGCATTAAAGGGTAAATCCAAAGGCTTTTAGCAGAAGTTGAGACCATTTATAGACATTCTAAAAAACAAGAATTCTATTTATCTTAAAATATAAAGTTGTGATGAATACAAGTTGTACACCATCTGTTTCTTTAATCTTTTCTTCCATCTTTTAATTTAACTATTCATCTATTGAGTATATTTTGTTGTAGGGGAGCGCAATCTGACCAAAAGATCATATCACTTGTTGAGAAGAATCACAATCCACAATCTGAATCGAGATCTACATCCTGTTTTCGCTTTTATGTTCCTGATTATGTTTTGTACGTTTGACATATATTCCAAATAGAATGAATACAACGGTAAAAACACAACTCAGACAATCTGTGAAGATTTGTTTCACAAGTAACAACTGTGCTAATTAATATATACAATCAATTCATACCATCAGGACATGTCACAACAACTTTGCTATGTAATTTTGATGCAACACCGGTCACTGGCTAGCTTTGGCTTCTGTATGCATTCATACTGCTATGTAACACAGCACATAATAGACAGTGCAAGTTAAGTTGTCTAATCATGGACAATCTGAATGGGCCATGTGAGTTTCATTCTATTTTTATTTTGAATTTGGAGTAAGATAGATGGTGTCAATAAACTTCAGTCCCTCGCAGTAAAAACAATGTTTTATTTTTAACATCCCTTAAACATATTGTTTCTATCCTGTTGTTTTGGAGGTACACAAAAATTATATTATTATTATCATTATTATTATTATTATTATTATTAAAGTGTCAGGCTATTGATAATTTCATTACGCTGCCTAACTAGAAACCTGATCAGTATGGCAGGTGTTTGAAAGGAATGAAGCTGTCAGAAAGGAGGTGTGTTAGCAAGCTGTTTAAAGCCTCTACAGTGGTACTTTTTGATTGTAATGAAACGACCCACAATACTGTATGAAAAGTATGTTTATATCTAAATATTAGAAAGACCAAAAACACTATCACATCTGTGTAATGTGTATCGTCAATGTTAAGAGCTTTACATTCTAGATCATCATATGGTTGTCTTACACTAGCTAGTGTTAACTGCATCACGATATATGCCAAATTGTTGACAACGAATCATGGCTACAAGCCCTAGGCTGCCAGGGAAGCGCTTCATCGGGAAGACATCGCTGGATGTTGGCTAGCTGGCTATGGTTAGCCAAGCTTCATTGTTAGCCCGCTACTTAGTGACTAGCTGAATAATAGCGTCCATGTGTCTCCAACCGTTTTTCTTGCTTTCGGTTTCAAACATTGCTGAAAGGACACGGCGATTCAATTGCAGCCCTGGCTGTTTTTCCTGCCTTTGCGCAAGAAGGAGAACGGCTGACGTCCGCACACACACACGCTAACGTTACCACTTTAGCTTTAGCCCCGCTTGGTAGCAACTGACACATGGGTGATGATGACAGCGATGAAGGCAAACCGCAAACATAATTCAGAAAAAACACACTCACCCAGAACCACCTGGACACTCTGAAGATCACCTTCGAGTCATGGTGAGACAAGAGTAGCTGTTATCTGAAGGAAAACGTCGTTGAGGAGGAAAATTGACTAAGTTGGATAGAAAAATGTTGTCGCAGCGGACAAGCAGAGCGGAGTGCTGCTATGCCTTGACAGCTCAGTGGGACAGACTGAGTACTACAGCGGTAGTGAACTGGCCTGAACTGGCTGTCTGACGGCAGGAAATGACATGTAGTGAAATCACGGTGGGGGGAGGAAGGGTGAGGGTGAGGGTGAGGGTGTGTGTGTGTGTGTGTATACCGCCCATTAACCTACAGTGACTACTTTACATGTCGCAGCTTTAAAAAAAAACGATTCTAAAAATGTTACCCTACATGATGGTGAGGTAATAATGAGTTATGGTGTCTTTTTAGCTCACCAGTGGCGTAATATAACTAAGTACGTTTATTCAAGTACTGTATTTGTACAATTTTGAGGTACTCTACTTGAGTATTTCCATTTCATGGTACTTATACTTATGGACGGATTGTGACACAAAGGGCCCCTTTTAAAGCCCCGCCACCGGATCCCTTGGATCCATGGGCCTGTGCCTGATAGGCTTGTTCAGTAATAAATGCTTCTACTCCAGTACATTTCGGAGGAAAATACTGTACTTTTTACACATCTACATTTATCTGACAGATGCAGTTAGTAGTAACTTTTAAAACTGAAATTGTACATTAAAGAAAACACATAAGGTTATAATAAATAAATAACATTGTGCTCTGGGACCCAAAAGCAGGTTAATCCAACCATGGCAAACATCATGAAAAAAGTCTTAAACGTTAGTTCATCAAAGTGGATCTTGATTGATTTTTTATTGGGCATTCAGAAAGTGTAGGGTCTTGCAAGTGACAGATGGGATCAAGAATGGGTGAAGCAAAGCAGGAGACATACCAACTTTTATTCTCATGTGTGAGTCAGCTGGCATAAACACTAAATGCTGCATTTCCCATAATGCAGCCAAAATCGCCTGGTGCCCTCAGAAGACATCATAGAACTGTTTTCACAGACGGCTATTTATGATGAGAAAACTGAGCTATGTGTTAAATCACTATTCTTAAGAAACTCACCATTATCTATTACATAATCCTCCATAATCAGTAACTAGTAGGTATTCATTAATCGGCATTCAGTTTCTGATTTATTCCTCGCTTGTTCAGGATTTTGTGTTGAACAATTTCCCCTCTCCCCTCCTGGCCAACTTGCAAGGTGAACAAAATGTCCTGCAGCCTCAAATCACCCATCCACCATCTTCCATGTCCTCTGCAGTGGAGCGATCACTGACGTACAGGCCAAGAAAAACAGAAAGGCCCATTACCCGCTGCTGCTTCAGATGTGCTAATCCTTGCTCTTGATCATCTCTGCAAACAGAATTCCACCTTTTTATGTGGGATACATGGTTTGTTTTCCTTTCACCCAATCTCAGAAGAGACAGAGATGAGGCCCAGAGATGGAACAATGCTAGCTCAGCATTTATCATAACTTCAGATGGCATTAATGGAGTGCAAACACATTTTTTTGTGTATTGGATCTGTTTAGAAATACAGATGAAAAACAATTTGTGTTTTGGTCTATTTCCAAAATGGTTCTCAAGTTTAAAGTTCTCAGTTGAACAACTAAATGGATCTATTACATCTAATCCATTACAATAGATAATGCACCAGTTAAACGAAGGAGACATATTATGTAACATATGATACAGGTATTATGTGTATAATGACTAACCTCATTCAGATCATCTCAGATTTCAGGACTCTTCATCAAGCTACACCCATGGGATACATCCATGTCCATCAGCAACTTTAGCTTTTCATTGTGGGTTCATTTCTCACATTCCTAAGGTCTTAAAGACTAAACTGTTACAGAAGTAGATTATATGACGCACTGAATGAATGAAAAATGACAAAGATACTATCAACAGGGCTGGACGATATTGTTGAAAACATTATGTATATACAGTATATGTATCAAATCAATCAAATCTATGCAAAATCACAGATAAAGTCATTGCTTTCACACATGAAGGCAATACATTTTTCATAATTGTGACATTCTTTATGTGTCAAATATTAACTTTAACAGCAAAGTTTGCTAAATTTGAATTACAGCTTGCTCAAATTTATTAATTCAATCATTAACATAAATTGGTAAAACAATAACAATATCATATAATCTTGATATTATGTTTGTGCAATTCAATGAATAATATAATTGAATTATGTCCCAGCCCAATTGGAGTCATGTTTACATGACAAACAGGGTGTTAAGTAACATTAATTGCTACTGCTGATATCAGCAATTGCTTTGTTACACTTTATATTAGTTGTTTCCCAGTCATTTGTCCCAGTCATTTGTCTCAGACAGACATGTCACTAGAGGAAATGTAACAGGGAGGAGTGAAACGTACTTCATAACTTTGCTCTTATCTTTGTATTGTTTGGTTATCAGGCATAAGGAAGTCCCTTCAGTTAAAAACGCCCTAGTTAGTTGCTCTAGCATCTTTCTTTAAAGCTCCACAGCAGCCAGATGGACAGAGGTCTGAGGGATGATGAAGAGGACAGACAAGCTCTGGCCGTCTAGTCTGGCGCTTATCTGCTCTGCCGGCCCTTTTCCCAGTCCAGCCCTGATAACCCAGGTTGACTAGCAAAATACAGGATATGACCCAATAACCTTGCAAGGCAGCAAGGGAGCAATATTGTTTTATTAGGGGAGGTCTTTTCCGTAAACCTTCCTAACAGATATCAGTTCTCAAAGGGCTCGATGAACGCAGTCAGGACAGAGTTTTGACAGTAAAAGTACTTGTTGTTATGCAGTAACAAACAGCCACAAGTTAGAGACAATAATGAAATAAGAATAAAACAGTCACTGTTATCAGCCAAAACAGTGCAATTTTCACAATCAATTTACCAACATTGATCAGTTAATGTTACAGTTTAGTGCACACACACACACACACATTAGCTAGACTGTTAACACATGCACTAAAATGAGATGGACAAAAGGTCAGTGTTTGCAGATTTTATTACATCTCAAATTAAAGCACCAGTTGTGTACAATGTATCTAACACATTACTAACTGAAAATGACAGTTCTTTGTCATTTAGCCAGACTTACAGCAGAGACATACTTCCCCTCTTCTTTACCAGACAGTTTTCTGTGAGAGTCCAGACATGGCACAGGTGCAGATGTTAAAGGGTCCGGGGTTTGCTGGCCACTCTTGGAGGGGGAACTCATCCCCTTGCTGTTGTTTTGTTGTTGGTTCTCTCCACTGGCCATTTGCCTCTTCAAAATCCCACTGGAATATATGGACAAGTCAAATGTATTATCATGGAGAATTGCAGTGGAAGGATTAAGATATGTCATATTCTACCATGTTGTCATGTTACCAAGTCGTCTTTGTAGCTAATATTACTTTAACGTGCCTTGGTGACAATTTTAAAAAGACGGTGGTCTGTGGAGTTTTCTTCCACAGGGCACCTTTAAGGCATAAAAGAGGGATATGTAATGGTGTTTTTTTGTCAATTAACTGACATTTCATAGTAGCTCCATCATACTTAAGCGTTTTAGGAACATTAAGAATATTTGTCATTTCTTTCTCTGAACCTTGTCCCTTTCAATGCTGGTTGTTTTATGTTAGAGATACTGGAAGTTTATTTGACTGTTTTAATGACTAATCTTGTATGAGCACATTACCTAAACCTTTAATATGAAATGTTTAGCAGTGTTCATACACAGTTAAATTCCAGGCCAGGAGCCATCACACAAGAGACCATAAACATCTCCCAAAATAGCAGAGGGTAGCACTGGCCCCCTATAGACAAGGTAGCCATTTTGCACTACTTCCTAGGCAGACAGGCCCTACCCAGTTTTGGTCTTTAATCAAAGATCCTTTACAGCAGAACAATTGGGCCACAAGGCAAATCTCAAACAATTCCACCCTCACTGTACCCCTCAGTCGACCCCCCACCTCACCCAACCCACACCACCTCAGCATAGCGAAGAACCAGCACTCAGCAGAAATGTGCAAGGATCACACGGTACAATAGACAATTTGAGTTGTGGTAAGTTCAGAGAGCTCTGACTGCTCAGTTTAGACAGGCATCACACTCCAAAATGTGTGGTTTTATCATGATCAACGATTATGGAGTTATTGTGAAAAGCAGAAAAAAAATGTAATTCATCTTCTATGTAAATAATTCTAAAATGTGCTCGCACTGTGAATCATTTTATAGTTGCAGAACCTCAGGGTGTAACGTAGAGGAAAAGTGTTGCAACCAAGTAAAAAGTGAGATTTCTTCACTGACAATCTGGAAGTCATCTGGAGTTCTGTGTATTAAGGATTAAACATTAAACACTTGAAAGGAAGCAATCTTTCTGTTAAATCACCAAGTAAACAGCTTCTGTTAATGCTTACTAGCAAGTAGAGAGAGTTCCAGACAGGGAGGGACAAATCTATGACTTTACCTGCTGTTATCTTTCTTTAGAAAGACTACAGATTAGAGATCTGTTCAGTACTGATCAGCCAAGATTACCTCTCATTGTCAGATTCAACTTTTATGTTGCTGCACTGATCTGAGCTGCCACTAAAACATTGAATATTTGAGTTGATTTTTTTTCACACAGCAAAAATAAGTTGTATACTTCACCAAATGCAACATGTACACACAGATATTTTGAAGACTTTCTTAAAGCCCTCTTGCACACTAACTGAGCTAAGGGTATTCACGTCATTTGCTTTTTCCTGTTGGGTGAACAGTATCAAGCTGCAATTGTTTGTGCTCACACCATGCCTTGCCTTTGTTTCTAGTTAAATGACATCCTCCATAGCTTGGCTTTCTACAGCAGCACAGTGAAGGAGTTTCTCTTGTGGCTGGGAGCGTCAGGGCCTGAGAAGGAAAAAGCTTGTAATTTCACTTCCCTTGCAAACTAAAACTATGCCTTTCAGAGGAGTGGAAATTATATAAATGTGAACTGTCAAGGCCAGTTTTACTATGTAGCCAATATTTAATTTTGGGCACAATTATACTGCACTGCAGTACAAAATTAAAATACAAATCCTGTTTCCCATGCTACTTCCAAATGACCTTGCCATACATTTTTAACCACAAACCCACAAGCACACATGCTCATCTCTCTATAGAGTTTGACTCATCAATCCTATAAAACATGCTGACAGTTGTCCTCTTACAAGAAACTCTGGACAGCTGTCTGACTTCCCTGAACATCACGTGAAAAGCACAAAGCCTGGTTTTCGGAAGCACACATGCTTCTTTTTATGGATGCTTCTGAGTTGCATTCTAAGTGCTTGTGGTAGCTTTTCTCTTAAATATGGATAGAACAAACATTTATTCAGATAATAAAATTGCAACGCCACTGAAACAAAAGTCTGAAGGCACAGTCAACCATCATCAAATACACTTTCAACTAGCTTTCTCCAGATGTGTATTCTCATCATGAAGGGACAGAGCCACATCTAGCTATGTGACACTGCTGTGTCTCCAAGTTTATTAGTGTTTATTACACTCAAGGAAACACAATAATAGTAAAAACAGCAAATCTGTCCGTCTGTTCTTAAACATTCATAAAACAGCATAGCTTTCACCTCTTCATGAACTTCTGTGCCATTTTGAACTTCACTGCTGTTTTGTATGGGCCTGTTACATAAGCCCATATAAAAAGGCAATAAACTAAACAGAATTAAGTCATCGCAGCAGGTCACACCATGGATATAACACAAGTTAACAGCAGGAACACACCTTTCACAGTGGTTGTGCACCACCCATTATGTTAACATGCTGCCACCACCTAGTGGTACAATTTGAAAAGTACACTTCATAGCTTCATTAACACACTTAATGAGCACTACATCTGAGATCACTGTTTAAACCAGCTTTTACTTTCAGTTTCCTTTCAATATCAACAACTACAAAAGGGCAAAGCTTTTTCCTAAAACCATTGTTAATGATTGCAGAATAAATATCTATGCAACAGTGTAGACAGAGTGCAAATTTTCATTGACAATCAGGTGGGTCAACTTTTTCACCAGGGAGAAAGGGAACCCAGTACAATGCCAGCACACGCTTCAGTGAACTAAAATATTACAGTTCTTAAAGTATTGTGCTTGTTTAACTAAATCTGTCAAATGATGTAGTGGAATAAAAAGAACAATATTTCCCTCTGAACTGTAGTGGAGTGGAAGTGGAAATATAAGTATCCAAAAATTCTACATGACAGCAATACTTAGACTAAATGTACTTAATTTCTTTCCAATACTGCTAATGCAATTACTTTGCCTTCAGCACACATGGATTTTATAATATTGTTCAATTATTATATTGGTAATGAAATGCCTAGCCAACATTATAAATGAAAGGACGCGCCATCAACTAGCTAAATTTAGTTAGCTAAACTGTAACTTAAGGCAAAAGTTAGAAACTAGCAAACATTATTGTTAATCCATTGATACTTGACACAGTCTACTTCAGAAATGCTGAATCATTAACTATATTTTTTACATCCAAGTTTTTTCTACTGTGACGTCAAAATATCCCGAGTTAAAAAGGGCTACAAATACTAATGATAATTATTTAGGAACCTGTTGAAAAACAATATTATTAATACTTTGCACTGATGTACTGATCCTGTTTGAAACATGTAACATTTTCCTTGGCTCTCTGTTGTGACTGGTTACCTTACTCATTTCCACTTCGTACCAACAGAGGTTGTCACCAACAGAGGTTAAATAATGCACACTGTAGGCACTGTAGTTAATTCATTCAACCCACCTCCAGATCAGAACTGACTAGTGAAGAGTCACAGGATGTATCTGAAAAACAGAAACTATCTACTCTGATCACTCGCACTGTCCTGTTGAGAGGCTGGTCCTCCGCCTCCTCCTTGGACAATGTCACCTCTTTTAGACATATCTGCAAACAGAACACAACTGTTTCTACTTGTATTCACTGACTAAGGAGGAAGAAAAATATGCAATGACATTTTAAAAGAAAGAAAGAAACATTATTGTTCTTGCACACAAAGAAACTTATTACTGTTGTGAAAAGTCTGTCACAGTAGATTCTTTGCTTACTTTTCTTGCAGGGTGAGTACTGACATCCATGTAATGGCCCATTTCAGTCATCTTCTGGACATTTTTACAACATTAAAAGATTAAACATGACTCAGCTAAGCTGATACATTAATGAGTGAAATAATACAGTGAGTAAAACCCTTTATTGTCAATGTTAAATATAAAGCAATTAGTTAATACTTTCTTATTCAGGAAGTCTCACTGAGATCAAGTTTTAAATGAAATGCAAGCAGTAGCCTTGCCTACGCAATTAGCGTAACAGAATATTCCTGTATCATTCCTAAGGCTTAGGAAAGCCAAAAAGCAGCATAAAGTTCAAAGAAGACTTACTTTTGTTTCTGCTGACTTAACTTTTTGTTTTCTGTGTTTCTTCACAACACCTTTCTCCTCAGTGAGAATGCCTGAGCCACCCAATAGGCTCTCTGTGTCTGGAGAAAACCTCATAAGGTGCTGCCTGGTTCCTCTCTTGCTCCAGTGGAGGACTAGAATCTGATGATGTTGAGTAAAAGGTCAATAAATCACACCTGATTGAAAATCAGTACAATTCACACACATTTAAGATATTCAAGACATCATTTCAATCTAGCTGTACTGCACACTAGCTCTGATTTTAATGGGAATATATGATTCTGTTATGTCGTTTTTTGGGAGCTGAATCCCTGAGCCTAATAGACTTAGTTGGAGACAGTCTTACTGTGCTGTTCAAGGATACAAGAAGATCCAGAATAACACAGCATATTGCTGACAGCAGCCATGGCATGACTCTCAGAAGAAACTCAAGCTGAGTGTCGCAGAGGAGTATGGCAGCAGTGTAGAGGGCACCAGCCAGCGAGCACAGCAGTCCTGAGAACATGTAGGCCTGGGTCAACATTTGTCCTCTGTACTAAAGGGGAAAAAGTAAATGTCATTCCTTTCAAAGTGATCTATTGCTGGGAACGGATTTGGGAAAGCAATAAGAACATGAAGTTGAGTGGCTATGGCATCAAAATACTCGTGTACTGTTTGTAACTTACGGCTCTGCCGACTGCAGGGAATCTGGAGGTACAGGCAATGACAAAAGAGATCAAGCCCAGTATGTAACCAAGGATTTCACTGTTGTCCTGTTAAAATAACCATTTTGACATGCTAAAACATTACATACAACATACTTTAATAAAAATATTGAATCAGAATTGACTAAACTGAAAGACATACATTTCAACAAGTTTATATGTGCATGTTTATAAGTTAAGTTAATAATTACTTGAAGGGTGACATTCAGAAGTTTCCTCCCACTGAGAGGCCTATCTGCCGAGTGGTGGCTAACCCTGGACTTCAGAAAGCCTCCTGCAACCACCATCAATATGCACACCGCAAGGAAGTGCTGTCTCCTCCGTCTCTGCATCATCCTCAGCCTCCTTCCTAATAGAGAACACACACATGAGATAAGATGGTTGCAGTTGGAACCAGTTCAACAGTTGTCCTGTTCACTTGTTTGCTTATCTCTGGAGCTCCTCTGATAAGTCTCCTTACAGTTTTGCCTAGAGGGTTTGGCCAGCTAGGTGCTAGTACTAAAACACCTGTGCTACCTTTTTGCACTTTGTTTGAACATTTGAACAAAAGATCTGGGTATGATCATGTTTGCATTATTATGATATGGCTCTAAACCTACCTCTCTTTGAATTCCAGCAGAGGAACACTGTGAAATAGCAAGACACAACATTGACAGCATCCACTGTAGCAGCAAGAGCACCCATTAAAATCTAAAGAGGACAAACCAAAAGTAAGTTAATTGTGGCTGCAATAAATTAAAAGTACCACGAGTAAATCTATGTTACCTGAATATAAAGCTGTCTAGACAGAATGGCTCCAACAGTGCTGCACAGGTTACCGAGGAAGCAGTAGAAGAAAATGACGGTTTCTCTCGGATTTTCTCCACCACATTTGCACTTCTGATGCACGAGCCTTAAACAATTTGACAGAGCCTATGTTTAATGGCAGAACAGTTTCAGTAGCCTAAATCGCTGAAGCAAACGTTGCAATGAAAACTACTTACACAAGGCACGACAAAAGTAAAAGCAACGCAGACAGAGAGCTGAGAGCGATGGAGATGCAAAGTTTGTCTGCCTCATCAGAAAAACAGGTGGCGATTGAATCCATGTAAAAAGCGAGCAGATTAGTGGAGAAATTGTTCGAGCCTTGACCGGTTTTCTCATCAGCAATCATCTTACGCCCCCCCTTATTTATTACAAATACGTCTACATTCCGTGTTACTGAAGGAAAAAAAACTGATTCACGCACCGATTCAGCCATGCAAGCAACGCGCGTCAGATGCACGATACAAAGGCTTACATATTTAAAGGAGGGGTTTACCTAGAATGAAAAAGGTATGTCTTCACATTGCAGAGGGAGGCATGACTCCAGCAGCAAAGAGCGAATGGCAGAATGCCCTTACTGTGCATCAGAGGAAAGAGTGCCACCTTGCCCTGTAACAACAGAAATACATGCATTTCAATATAAATACAAACATATAATTAAATATTATATAAGGAAATTTTCAAGTTACAAAGCATGATATTAAAATTAATGTTACAAAAACAAGGCTGTTTCCACCTGGTTTCGAATCAGCAACCAAAAACATTATAACATTATAACATTATAACCACCTGTCAAAACAGGTCACTGTAACCAAGCCAAAGACACAAAGGGTTGGTAGCTACAACTATAATCATAGTGCTTCCTGGATTAAAAAGGTTTACTACAACCCAAATTCATGAGAAAAGAAAATCAGACTTAAAAATGGGTCCAATTCTCCCACTGTTGGGAGAACACATTCCAACCATTTGCATTTGACATTACAAATACAAACGCTTATGGATAACCTGATGAAGTTCGAAGTCTGATGAGCAGAAATGACTTACCGAAAGCAGTTTCCGTAGTGTAGTGGTTATCACGTTCGCCTAACACGCGAAAGGTCCCCGGTTCGAAACCGGGCGGAAACATCTTTATCCATATTCACAGAACCAACCTGATGTGATAGTGGCAGTCTAGATAGTCGCAACAGAGCAAATGTCAGGTAATGCAACAACATCCAGCAGACACAACTTTGTGTGATCTTTCTGTTGCATGGGTTAAATGATGAAAACGCTTATGATCACACAACTCAAGGAATCTTGAGTAGTATCCCAAAGGCACTGGGTGGAAAAAAGTTTCTCCATTCAAGGTTTTATGAAACCACGCGAAGACCGACAGTGACTGTGATTTGTAACCTCTATATCTCCACTTGACTTATTATGTTACAAAAAGCATCGTTGGAAGGCTGGATAAAAACAACAAAAAATAAGTTCATGTCAGCGACAGTGAGTGTAGGTTTTTTCCACTTTAATGCTTTAGTCAATGTTTGGTCAATCATTTCAAAATCCAGGTTACTTGAGTACAGAGCCACATCATATGATTTGTACTTACCCTCCATCGTGAAGTGTGCAACCCATTGAATGCACCAGGAGTCAGTCGACATGGCAGATGTGGGTCTTGTGACAGTCCTTGTTAGTATCGTCGGCTGTATCTCCACCTGTCACGTGGAAGACTGGGCTTTGATTCCCAGATGGGGAAAGTTTCCTTATTTCCTCCTGAAACAGCGCATCTACAGCATTGTACCAGAGCAAAGGTCATATAATACAACAACATCCAGCAGAAACAACTTTTTACGATCTTTCTCAAACTTAAGTCACGGTGACAGTGACAGCCTGCCTATTTCCATTGGATATGTTGGAAGGCTAACACTGTGTCGTTGTTAGCAAGTGTGGATGTTCAGATAGGAAGGGGATGGCTCCTCTCTCCTGCTGTTTTATCTATCATTGCTTAACCTGTCACACGTGAGCTCAAGCTAAGCTCATGCCAGGGACAGCAAACATGGGAACCATTGAACCAGAAGCAGCTTCAAGGTTTCCGCGCTGCTTGTGGAACTGGACACCAGCTCTTCACTGTTGAATGCTGCAGGGGTTGAATGTGGAAAAAGCTCATGGGCACATAACTCAAGGAATTCTAGGTAGTGTCCAAATGGCACCAGGTGAAGAGTGCAACCCGGTAAATGCACCAGGAGTCCGTCGACATGGCAGATGCTGGTTCTGCGAAAGTCCTCGTTAGTATAGTGCACAGTGTCTCCGCCTGTCACGCGGAAGACCAGGGTTCGATTTCCCGACGCGGAGAATGTCTTTGCTTTCTGCTGAAAGAGGTCACCTAAATCATTGCACCAGCGCAAAGGTCATGTAATACAACAGCATCCAGTACAGACATGGCAGATCCTGGTTCTGCGACAGTCCTCGTTAGTATAGTGCACAGTGTCTCCGCCTGTCACGCGGAAGCCCAGGGTTCGATTTCCCGACGCGGAGAATGTCTTTGCTTTCTGCTGAAAGAGGTCGCCTAAATCATTGCACCAGCGCAAAGGTCATGTAATACAACAGCATCCAGTACAGACATGGCAGATCCTGGTTCTGCGACAGTCCTCGTTAGTATAGTGCACAGTGTCTCCGCCTGTCACGCGGAAGCCCAGGGTTCGATTTCCCGACGCGGAGAATGTCTTTGCTTTCTGCTGAAAGAGGTCGCCTAAATCATTGCACCAGCGCAAAGGTCATGTAATACAACAGCATCCAGTACAGACATGGCAGATCCTGGTTCTGCGACAGTCCTCGTTAGTATAGTGCACAGTGTCTCCGCCTGTCACGCGGAAGACCGGGGTTCGATTCCCCGACGGGGAGAATTTCTTTATTTTCTGCTGAAAGAGGTCACCTAAATCATTGCACCAGAGCCAAGGTCATGTAATACAACAGCGTCCAGTAGAAACAACTTAGTACCGTCTTTCTCAAACTTAAGTCTCAGTCACAGTCACAGTCACAGTCACAGTCACAGTCACAGTCACAGTCACAGTCACAGTCACAGTCACAGTCACAGTCACAGTCACAGTCACAGTCACAGTCACAGTCACAGTCACAGTCACAGTCACAGTCACAGTCACAGTCACAGTCACAGTCACAGTCACAGTCACAGTCACAGTCACAGTCACAGTCACAGTCACAGTCACAGTCACAGTCACAGTCACAGTCACAGTCACAGTCACAGTCACAGTCACAGTCACAGTCACAGTCACAGTCACAGTCACAGTCACAGTCACAGTCACAGTCACAGTCACAGTCACAGTCACAGTCACAGTCACAGTCACAGTCACAGTCACAGTCACAGTCACAGTCACAGTCACAGTCACAGTCACAGTCACAGTCACAGTCACAGTCACAGTCACAGTCACAGTCACAGTCACAGTCACAGTCACAGTCACAGTCACAGTCACAGTCACAGTCACAGTCACAGTCACAGTCACAGTCACAGTCACAGTCACAGTCACAGTCACAGTCACAGTCACAGTCACAGTCACAGTCACAGTCACAGTCACAGTCACAGTCACAGTCACAGTCACAGTCACAGTCACAGTCACAGTCACAGTCACAGTCACAGTCACAGTCACAGTCACAGTCACAGTCACAGTCACAGTCACAGTCACAGTCACAGTCACAGTCACAGTCACAGTCACAGTCACAGTCACAGTCACAGTCACAGTCACAGTCACAGTCACAGTCACAGTCACAGTCACAGTCACAGTCACAGTCACAGTCACAGTCACAGTCACAGTCACAGTCACAGTCACAGTCACAGTCACAGTCACAGTCACAGTCACAGTCACAGTCACAGTCACAGTCACAGTCACAGTCACAGTCACAGTCACAGTCACAGTCACAGTCACAGTCACAGTCACAGTCACAGTCACAGTCACAGTCACAGTCACAGTCACAGTCACAGTCACAGTCACAGTCACAGTCACAGTCACAGTCACAGTCACAGTCACAGTCACAGTCACAGTCACAGTCACAGTCACAGTCACAGTCACAGTCACAGTCACAGTCACAGTCACAGTCACAGTCACAGTCACAGTCACAGTCACAGTCACAGTCACAGTCACAGTCACAGTCACAGTCACAGTCACAGTCACAGTCACAGTCACAGTCACAGTCACAGTCACAGTCACAGTCACAGTCACAGTCACAGTCACAGTCACAGTCACAGTCACAGTCACAGTCACAGTCACAGTCACAGTCACAGTCACAGTCACAGTCACAGTCACAGTCACAGTCACAGTCACAGTCACAGTCACAGTCACAGTCACAGTCACAGTCACAGTCACAGTCACAGTCACAGTCACAGTCACAGTCACAGTCACAGTCACAGTCACAGTCACAGTCACAGTCACAGTCACAGTCACAGTCACAGTCACAGTCACAGTCACAGTCACAGTCACAGTCACAGTCACAGTCACAGTCACAGTCACAGTCACAGTCACAGTCACAGTCACAGTCACAGTCACAGTCACAGTCACAGTCACAGTCACAGTCACAGTCACAGTCACAGTCACAGTCACAGTCACAGTCACAGTCACAGTCACAGTCACAGTCACAGTCACAGTCACAGTCACAGTCACAGTCACAGTCACAGTCACAGTCACAGTCACAGTCACAGTCACAGTCACAGTCACAGTCACAGTCACAGTCACAGTCACAGTCACAGTCACAGTCACAGTCACAGTGACAGCCTGCCTATCTCCATAGGATATGTTGGAAGCCAAGCTCACAGTATCTGCGCTGCTTGTGGAACTGGACACCAGTTCTTCACTGTTGAATGCTGCAGCAGTTGAACATGGAAAAAGCTCATGGGCACATAACTCAAGGAATTCTAGGTAGTGTCCAAATGGCACCAGGTGAAGAGTGCAACCCGGTAAATGCACCAGGAGTCCGTCGACATGGCAGATGCTGGTTCTGCGAAAGTCCTCGTTAGTATAGTG